GGAAGTGTAGTGTAGGGTAGGTTAGGGTAGGGTAGGGTAGGGTAGGGGTAGGGTAGGGTAGGGTAGGGTAGGGTATGGTAGGGTAGTGTAGGGTAGGTTAGGGTAGTGTAGGGTAGGTTAGGGTAGGGTAGGGTAGGGTAGGGTAGGGTAGGGTAGGGTAGGGTAGGGTAGGGTAGGGTAGGGTAGGGTAGGGTAGGGTAGTAGGGTAGGGTAGGGTAGGGTAGGGTAGGGTAGGGTAGGTTAGTGTAGGGTAGGGTAGGGTAGGGTAGGGTAGGGTAGGGAAGGGTAGGGATAGGGTTAAGTTCAAAAAGGGCCTAACATACAAAACAGTTGAACACCCTGCACCTCTCACCAACCCTTACAGTTTAATTAAAAACAGCTACCCAAATCTATCTAAATAACACATCTAAAAATACAAGTCAATCACCCAAACTAATGCACCCGTAACATAACATAAATCAAAACATACAGTTATCGCGTAAACCTGTACCTCTAGTCTATTATAAATTTGGTGGTGACTGTCGACTGGCGTCTGGCGGCCTAGACCTTGAGGCTTGAAAGTGGCCTTCCTTTTCCGTTGACTCCGATCCTCCAGATGGATATGATATAAAGGATCATTTTTATCTTATTTCATATGGGCCAGTCAGCAAAGTGGCTATTATGTTTCAGCATTCACACACACAATAGTTGACTGTCAGTCTCTCATGCTGTCAGTGTTGTGAAGTAACGAAGGAGTTGAGTTTTGTTGATTATAAATTGTGATGTTATGTAAAGGACTGGAAAATGAATGTGAAAACTATGGAAACATATTGGCAGAGTATTGTCACTTACTATCAGGACATATGGATAGAGAATACATTCAAATTAATAAGAAATGCCAAATATCAAGGTACTCAATCACTGATAGGAGTGGACTATCATATGTTTTAATGTCAATTATATGAAAGTTAAGACTGAAACTACCTTTTACCTCATCATACCTAATGAAAAATTGTGTGAAGAAAACATTCACAGCCTCTTTGAAGCACTTAGACCACTAAAAAACAAAAATTTTCACGTAAATATGTTGTGTCTCCTTCCTTCAAAACATCATATCGGATGGCGCCACTTTCGTCGACAGTTACTTATCTGCACGCAAATCGAGGAAAACGTGAATTGATTGACGTTTACGTGTTTCCAAATTTAAGATCACAGCATATTCAAACTTTTCAGTGTACCTTTTAACATCTAAATATAACTACAACGATAAAAACTTACCTTCAACACGAGGACGACGACAACCACGTGACCGGAGACGTCGCGACGAAATAAACAAACGGCGCCGCCAAATGAAAAATATTCTCCGATATGAGTAATGTGAAATTGAGTCGCAATCATTTTGGGTAGTATGAAAAATGCTCTTTCCAACAGAACCCTAGTAAAAACGTGAATGGACAAAAAATAACTTTTATTTCGACATAAATATTGGCCTGTTTTTAAGTCATTCTGGTATGCCGTTAGATTTCGACCTATAAATTGGTGTTCCCCCAATCATTGAAGCTTGAGCAGTGAAAAATATGAAAGCCTAATCTGTTTTGCATCATTAGTGATTCTCCTAGGGTGTTGCCATTTCTCCCTAGGTGTTGCGAGTTGCTTTTGCAAAACGTGTTCCTGAAACGGCTCAATTTTTTGAGCCCTCAACATTACGCCTATGGGAGCCTCTGACGTCACACGCTCAATATTTTGAGCGCTCAATAATTTGAGCTTTTCCCCCTTGTGCGTGGGACTGAAATTATCCTGTCCCTAACAAAATACGAACTTTCAGCCCATCGGCCTACGACCTAACCATTACTGAGATATAGAATTCGGTTCAGCACGTGCGCACGTGCAAAGTGAGACAGCAACTGATTTGTTCAGGTCACCCATATAGCCGGTCCCTATCTGTATACCAGCTCTGAGCGCACGTGCAATAGCACCCTAACTGTAATACACGAGAATGAACCCATATATATATAGGTATGTAGTTGTACAAAAAATGGCTTGTACATTGTGCATTGTGCAAGCCATGAGTTTCAAAACAATCGTTCCAGTGACTGCGGAGTTTGTGAGCGAGACATTTTAAGCACTCAGGATTCAGCATTTGGCACGCGCCGGCACGGTTACCCGGTTACCCAATACCCAGTCACATTATTTTTTTTATATAATGAACGATTTATCTAATGCTCAAGATCTCTCATAGACCGGTCAGGCGGTTGCAAATATGTAAGATTATAAAAAGCTTCAAAAAGTTTTAATTTGAATGCGCCCTTTTTATTTGGATGTTAATTTTTTAGTTTGAATGGAAGCATTTTAATTAAGCTGTGAGGTTTTTAATATGAAAGTGATCTTTTTTAATTGATATGTGACCTTTTTGAATATGAATGTGGCCTTTTTCAATTTGATTGTGACTCATTTTAGTTTGACAATAAAAATGTGTAGTTGGGTTCAGATTGAGACCCTTAGTGACCTGGCCTCTGTAACCTGACCTGAAATCAGTGACCCCATTTAGCAAAATATGTTATAATGCTGTTCCGTCGGTGGTTTTCGATAACTTTCTCTATGATTCTACAAATTTCTTAGTAGGCCTGTAAACGGTCAGAAACACGACCTTTGACCTGTCCTGTAACGTCATCGGTTGAACCGAGATCAATGAAACTGGGTCGCGAGATGGCTCCCTAATGGAGCTATCGACCGCCGTTTTTGAAAATCAGTCGGTAAATTCCGAGATCTTAGGGGGGGGGGCAAAACGACCCCCCTACGGATGTCAGGGTCCGGTAATAGTTACGGAGCGAGCGAAGCGAGCGTAGTCTTTCCTTAGATTAACGGAAATTTCTGAGTATGAGCGGCCGGCCGTGGTCACGCTTCTGCGAGGCTTATATCTCAGCAACCACTTGACCGATTTACATGCGGTAATTTTTGTAGGGTAGCTTCATTCCTTCTACCAAGTATTGGACTATTCCCGATGCATGTGGGTGACCCCTTATGCACGTGCCACGTGCAAAACGAAGAGGTGTCACTTTTGTAATTGTTGCAATATCTCGGTAACTACTTGGCCGATTGCGCTGAAAGTTGGCATGCAGGTAGGCACCCACTAGGCAATGCATATCCATGTGCCGGAGTTGGGGTGCTGCTGCACGTGCGCACGTGCAGGGGTCGATTCCAGATCTCGAGAACGGCTGGACCGATGGCGCTCAAATTTGGTACATGGCTAGGGACCGGTTAGTAGGGTGCCGTGCAAAAGTCAGTTGGGACCCATTTTGCACGTGCGCACGTGCAGGGTGCCGATTCCAGATCTCGAGAACGGCTGGGCCGATTGTGCTCAAATTTGGCACATCGCTAGAGACCGGTTAGTAGGGTGCCGTGCACAAGTCAGCTGGAGGCACCCCCTCGAAATTTCGCACGTGCAACGCTCACCCTCTCGCTCGCTCCGTTAGTCGCCCCAAAAGGCGTTATACTGGTCTTACGGGGTGCAGCTCAAATCTTAACTCAAAGGATAATGAATGAACATACAGGGTGTCCCAGAATTACCCGGACATTGTTAATTAGCGTATAAAATAAGGCAAACATGATTGCGCCTTTTTCTTTTTATCGTCCTATATAGTCAACTAGGGTGGCTGTGAAATAGCACATGCAATAGATACGCTTGTTACAAGATCAGCCGACAATGATTGAAAATGCCAGCCATTGCTGGTCTCAGTTGTTTTACGGCTCTCCCGAAACTGGGTGAAGGCCTGTTTTCTTTGACCTGTTGCCGGAGGATAATACGATCATATAAGATAAACTTAACATCAAAGTGTTCCTAGGTCATAAGGCATTATCCCCCAAAACAAAAATTGCTGCCTACACCAATTTTGTCGCGTTTTTTTACATCTGAAGTGGAGAAGCTCCATGTCTGAACATGGCGGGACCTTTGGCTTCCAACAGATTTGGTTTCCAAAACAAACCCGTTCATGGCCATTTGGTTTACGGCATCCAGTTTTTTACTGGTAGAATATTACCGCAGTAGTACTCTGTGCTAACCGCTGTCGTTGTGCCATCATATCAAGCCGAATGAGTGCACGGTGGCTCAAAATGTCTCACAATTTGATTTTCGACGGGTGCCTGGCCGTCTCTGCTGTTGGGGCGTTGTAGCCATCTGACGTTCACACACGCCTTTTTCGGGCGGTTCAAATGACAGAATACCTTCGTTAGACCACAAAGTGTGCTTCAATATAATTTTTTGTTGTATATGTTATATTCTTAGGATGAATTGTAGTGATTTTCGCTGCTTTTCCCGTAGTTTTCGCATATTTTTCAGGCGAGGGATCCCAAATTCCAAAATTTTGCGAAGATAGTGGTGGAAAGTAGACTGATGTTCTTTAGATAATCTGGATCTATCGTTTAGCTAGTTTTTAGCTAGATCAGTGACGTTTGTTCTCCATGACAAGCAACCACCCGTTTGACAACTGGTGCATGGCCCTTTTTTGGCCGAGCCCAAGCTTGTCAATCAGGTTTATCTCTTGATCTCTCTGGCTTCGTTAGCTGATATAATTGCGCTTTGATCAATCCTAACTGCTTGCAGATGAGCTGCTGAAGCTCTCCAGCAAAAACCATGCCGAAAGTCCGTTTACAAAGTTGAAAACGGGAGTTGATTCACCATGGTTGCCTATTAGTGGTTTAAGCTGAAAACGGAAAAGGACTACTCTTACTTGACTCTGGATAATAATTGACTCGAGTCGTTACCGGTCACCAAAAGCACACAGTCCCCAAGCTCGATAGCTAAGGGATATCTTATAAAAGTATGATGCTTGTATATCATTAGAATCGAGCGCAATCGCACTTTTTGCCAGAAAATAAATGTCCGGGTAATTCTGGGACACCCTGTAAGTGAAAGGAGGCCCGGACAATTGTGTTAAGGTGATACCCCCACCCCACCCCACCCCTTACACTGATGCTGGATATACATCGTATACCTTAACGGGTGCTGAAAACAAACGATAATGTGTCTGTCATTACCACAATTATGATTAATGATGATCATCAACATGTTTATTGCATACACAAAAACAAAATACATTTGCAAGACTGGTGCCAATCAGGAGAAGACCTTTTCCTGACTTGACTTTGTCATATCTGCAAAGCATGATGTGACTTCGGCCATTTACAGCAAAACATCACATATGGAGCAAATGACGAGTGACGACATGATGATTTAATTGCTCCAGTACTACAACATTTCACACACAATAACACTATAATTCTGGCAAGCCAAGCATGCGGAAAGACATCCGTCTTTCCGACTTATATAAAGCGTAACTAGTTCCGCCATCGTTACACTCCACAACTGGCAAGACAGACCGCAATGTCTTAGCGTGACATCAAGGTCGGTGCTACGCTCAGCGTTACATGACATCAGATTCACTGGCGCGGCAAGTACATCAGAGCCCGGTCTCGCACTGACCTCCGCCAGACATCAGTGGCTCACTGGTACCACTGGACGGAGTGGCGCCCGTAGACATGGCGCTCGCTGAGGTGACGCTTCTCTTGATTGCCCGACAGCAGGGGTTCTTGAGCAGGGCGTGCCACAGAGTCCACACTCCGCCTTCGCCAGCCACCATCAGAAGGAAAACGGCAAAACCTGCAGCGGGTACAAAGAAATCAACACCAAGGCACTCCGACTAGACCGAAATACACGTGCATTCTCACATACTTTACTCTGTATCTCCTTAACCCACCATGTTAACTTTGTAACAAACTTTTTAAAGTCCTGTAGCTTTGTACCTCAGATTGCTGTTGACATATGAGCACATTTTGAGAAGTTTCAAAGTCTCACCTTGAAGCGTGCTGCAAATGCAGAAGAGGAGGGCGAACACCAGACGACCTTCCCGTACGGCCAGGAAGCCAAAGATCCATGCCAGTCCAAGCATCACCGGGGTGACCATTGAGACGCGCAGACGGCGCCGCGCCAGCTGCTGCTCCGGCTGGTTGGTGCGCAGCCTCCTCTCACGACCGCAGTACAGGGCGCACACGATACGGACATACAGCGCGGCGTTAATCACCATCAACACGAGCATTGGCAGTACCAAGGCGTAGCGGAAACTCTGGAAGTCCATCCAGCAGACGCGTTCTTGGCTGTCATAGCAGTGAGGGCGACTAGCCAACACGCAGACAACCGGCACAAGACTTCCGCCCCAGACCAGTCCGCTTGCCTTATGCATGAACCTGGGAATGTACGTGCCCACAACTTTCACGAAGAGCAAATACTGAAACACAGCCTCCACGCACATCCACCCGAACGTTGCTAATAAGAAGAAATGAAGCAGCGCCGACAAACAAACGCAGGCGTCGTGATGTTCCTTCGCTCCCAGACCTCCCAGAAAGGTCACGTAGACCCCTGTTAGAGCAACACTCATGTGCATAACGATCTGACTACTACGCAGCTTCCTCCATTTCTTGAATAACACAAATGTCAGCATGGTAAAGACGAGTCCAAGAAGCGAAAGGCAGCTTCCGATGTAAGTGAGAATATCTAGAGCGTGGTGGTAGCTAGCACTAAGATACTCGTCCCGTTCGTAGTTGAAGATCCTGGCGAAGTTAGTCAGATGGTTGCAACGGCAAAAGTCACTACCGTCTTGAACCTTCACCAGCCAGCAACCCGTTGTGGACCAACGAGACTCAGCAGAATCCCAAAAGGCACATGTTGGCGGAGGCGCACACTGTCCTGGCAGACTACGAAACGTCATCAAAACATTTGCCAAGGCTCGCTCCTTGCTCGTTGCGCCAGGAATCACGGCCGACACTACCTGACTCGTGACACGTTGGCCGGGGGACTGCAACAGCCGACCATTACGATAGACGACAAAGGCAACGGAGATGTTAGGCCTCTTGTTTTCTAACAGGATCGATGACTCCATACCAGATGCGGAAAAGCGAGACATATCAGCGCCGTGGGCTATCTTTTTTACACTGAGGTTCGTTATCTCGTTTGAGGATGATGCGATGCCAACGATGTCCTCCGATAAAACTGCTATATTTTCCGTGTCTATATTATAATCGCCTTCCACTGAAGTTTCCAGAATGTCCTCAAGCGCGTTGGCAATGCGGGAACCTTTTCCAGGTACCAGTGAAGAGGTCTTGAGTACTGGCTGGTCCACATTCATCAGCTGACTGGCAGCTTCAACAACTTTCCTGTGTACAGACAGCACATCTTCCGGTGGTATGGGCCGATCCTCACCCTGTCTGCTCCTCTGCACACTGGCAGCAATGTTTTCCAATATGTCAGCAGCCGAGACCACATCTCCAGCATCCAGGGAGGCCGGCTCGGCTGTCAGCCGTTGCAGCTCGTCCGCTGTAGCCGACACGTTATCTGTAGTCACGGCGTCCTTAGACAGCTGGTAGAGGTTCCTTGAGGTGCTAGATACGGCGGCACAGCTGGAGGCTCCGAAGTCTACAGACGACCACTGGACGCCCGTCAGAGGAGTACCCTGGCAGTGCCGCAGCGGACGTCGCCCGGAGCCATCCACACACTGCTCTTTGGCGAAGACAGTCCCTCCGCACGTCTTCGGCCAGCTGAGAGGCACGGGGTGCTGGGTCCTTTCTGCTGGGCAGCAGCGTGCAGGCTTGAAGTACTCAGGCTTAAAGTCTCGCATAAGGATATCAACTCCATTAAGATCTCGGTGAGCCTGTTCAAGTTCCTTTTGGTTCGAAGTTCTAGAGTGGCTGGCGTTTCCGGACGGTGGATGGCTCAGGATGACCGCTTCTAAGGTGATGTAATAGTGTGCTGTAACATCTCCGTTGCTGGATGATGTTACACGGAGAGGGTAAACTCTTCGTTGAAAAACCTGGCCGGTATCGGGAACTACAAGTACCTCGCTTGTATGCGTCAAGTTGAAGCAGGGACAAATGGGGCCACAGAGGGTAAGTTCGCACTGCGAAATATTCCCTCCAGTCTCCTGGACTCCAACAACATATTCTTGCACGAATATATCTCGCTTGGTTAACAGAAGCGAGTTGGACGTGATCTGTACTCCCAATTCGGTGATCAGCAGTCCGCATGTGAGGTAGCCAAAATCTACTGAAGGAAATATTTGTACAAAGACTCGCCCATCGTCATCGGAGATAACATTGAAGCTTTTCACTCGAAATCCATCGCGTGCATTTGATGAAGTTCTTCCGTTCTGAAACAGCTCAGCTGTCGTCGCGTCCGAGGTAGAGACCATGCATATGAGATCATCATTCCAGTCTTCTACGAAATTCTGGACACTCGTAACATTCGCGAGAATGGTTTTGTTGTCGAAGGAATGATCATAAAATAACACAATCTCCGCTGCTTCAGCAACAGCATGTTCTTCACACAAGGCGCATCCCACGGCCTTTTCAACAGGCGTAACGAAGTCATACTGGCCACGTGGGACGTCTAAAACACCATGCGTATGACTCTGATCAGTAGACAGAAAAGGGGACAAGCCTGGGTAGGTCAGACTGCTTAAGTCTCGCCATGTCACTCGACCGTCGTGTCTTTCCAGTTGCACCGCGACACGGTCCGATCTTCCTCGAAAGCCGCTCAGACGAAGCACTGCATCCAGGTATCTTGGCAAGGTCAAGCTGGCTAGAGTTGAACCAGACCTGGTGCACAGAGCCGATGCTTCTGCCCACGAAATACGCGAGCTGTTACTTGGGCATATGAGCGCAAAACAGCGTTCGATGCCCGTTGTGCCCATCTTATGCTCAGGCTGACATATTCTCTGTCTTGCTATCGACCCCTGTGAAGCTTCCCTTCCAGTCGGTGAGAGCAGAGGAGTTATGACGCACGCCACTCCATGTCTCGCCGTACATGAAGAGCTGGAGACCAGACCTTTCTGGGTCATCACTGTGCAATTCTGATCATTTTGTAGGTTGACCGTGCTTTGACCATCATCAGTAATCAGAAGACTTCGAATTGCCGGTAAGAATGATCCATGTGGCCACAGTCTTTGAAAAGGAAGCCAGATTGTGGAACTGAGCCACGACACCCTTTCCTGTGGAATCCAAGGTATGGAAAACGGATGCCGATGGTGACACGCGGAAGTACGCTCTTCAAAGCTGACATTTGGAATTACCCTCACGCACAGTCCCGACAAAGTCTTTGTGTTGTTGGCCGGTAGGAGTACAAATCCGGGTGGGCATGCAGGTGGAGGCGGTTCGCACCGATGAAGCCTCGATTGGCAAACGCCAGCAGCGCAGAAGGGACCCCACTGGGCACCGCTGGGCCCAAAACTCGGCATACATCGCCGTTCAACGACAGCCATGAGACGATTTGTTACACATGGTGGATACGATGGAGTGAAACTCGAGCTGTTCGACGTCTGCCACATGTGTCCTTCCACGTCCACGATGGGACAACGGAAAACCTCACGAAGTGAGTGGTCGTTGCGGGACGAGGTTCCATTCTGTCGAGCGGTCGCATCATTGAAAGCAATGCTTTCCTGGAAATGTGCAGCATCAAGGGGTGCACCAATGTCGATGATGAGTGACACTTTGCGAAGAACAGGTCTTGGTGTTTTCCTTCCGTATTCCTGATGCCTGACGAGATTGCCTGGGTAGTCAAACGCTGCAACGAATCGAAATCTGTCCGCAACTGAATTCAAAAGGTCCCCCAAAGTTTTCATCGTTCCATTTGACGTCGACGTTTCTCCCAGTGCCGGGCCACCTGAGCTCAACTCCAGCAGCTGAAGTGTCTCCAGGATCCCGTCTGGCGTCGTCGTCAGCACGTACATATCTCCAGAGCTCGCCACGTGAAGGCGTCCACTTATCACAGGATCCGCTGCTCCAGTCACATACCTTCGACACCAGAAAGTGCCAACGCTCAGAACGTTTCCTGAACGAGGCGCGAACTGTTGAAAAATGGTGAAGTTTGCATTCCACCAACTCGATATGTAGCGCGTTCTTCCGAGCACGAAGTGATCTTTGACGATGGTGTCGCCCGGACCGCAGGTGATGTTTATGTGGATACCAGTCTCCAGAGAGGTTTGATCCACAAAGACGACCTCGTCATGGGCAGGAGACGGTCGGACGGTCGCAGCACCGATCTGAGCTGTGAAAGACGGTTTGTAGTTGGCTTGTTGTTGCTCCGCGTCAGTGTGCTCGTTACGGAAGCACACCACTCCTAGGGTGGCGTTGCAAGAAGTCCAGGCCATGCTCAGTTCGCTGTCTATCGTCGTTGCTCGAGCGCATAGATCTGTGACTTCAGCGGAGGCAGTGAGGGCGACGTCTCCAGGTGAAATAGAGCTGTAATCTGAAACAGACGTTGACATTGTATTAATTACTCTGGAAAACTAGCACCTCGACAATCTGTAATCATCCACTGCAACTTCGAACACCAAAACAACAACTGAGTTGCCCAAGTTTTCGCGATAGTACCTAATCACTCACGACGAAACTACGAACTCCACCCGGTTTATTTGTTCAATCGCCACTATTTTGGCCAGCATATCAGCTTACCACCATCCTGGAGAAGCCATTCAAAGTAGCCGTTTCGTAGGTACTTGGCACCGATCCAAAAGTCACTTGGTGGATTCAGACGACCGGCTGAGCTGAGGCCCACCAAGCTGTCGAATGCAGCTTGTGATGGCACCAAGAAGGAGTGTCGAAGTCGACACTGCTCGTGAGCTTCTCTCCATGTGGCGGTCCGGTCCAGAAAATCCAGACGGCCATCCCTGTGATGAGGATGAATTGTTTTAAATGGCGCAACAATAGAAATTATGTGGTGCCTTTTGTCTGTAGCGGCTGTTAACCCTCGCCCGTATTGGTGTTTTTCCAGCCGCGAACGTATAAGGGGGGGGGAGTCCGTTGGACCCCCCCCCCCTTGCCGTTTCGCCCCTGATCGAGCTAGAGCTTCGCGGAAAAAACGAGCGTGTTGCCCGTGACGAGAGGAAGCCGATGATACCTAATTTTAAGGTCCTAGGTCATTGGTTGACCTTGCAGGTCAGGTCAATGACCCAAAAGTCGGAAAATCGGGACCTGTTAGAACGTCGTAAAGTGTGGCTGCTCTGGGGTTTTTCGGGGGCGCTGATCACGAATATCATGTTAGTTTTGATCACAGATGATGTCTTCATGCATTTAGTCCAGGTCGGGTCAGGTCAGGTCAGGTCAACCAGTAGGGGTCCTGCCGGGTATTCCTAGTAGGTGTCAACCGCCTCTGACAGCTTCGTAACATGTTACGAAGGCACCAAAACTACTTCGTAAATGTTCATATGGTTGCTAAATTCGAATTCAGCTCCAAAAACTGGCCTAGAAACATGTAAAACTCGAAAAAGTGAACCGAGGTCACCAAAGGTCAATGACCTGACCTTCAGGTGACCTTGACACCCTGACCCTAATGCATGGGGGCAACATCATATCACCTGTTTGAACGCTTGAAACCACGAAAAGACTGCAAACGCGCGGCTAATGCGAGCCGACATACGCCGAATCGCGATTCCGGCCAAACATGGTCTCGAAAAGTAGGTCACAGGTCAAAGGTCATTGGGGTCAGGGTCATGAAATTTTCAGGGTAGGTGTAAAATTGATTGACGCGAGGGTACTGAAAGTTTCGTCGCGATCGGCCGCTTTTTACGCGAGTTATTCGCGAACCCCCCCCCCCCCTATACGGGCGAGGGTTAAATGTAAGCCACAAGAAAGCAGCCTATAAAATTTGATTTCTAATCACAGACAATGGCGATGACACCAACAAATAAAATGCAATTGTTTTTATTGTGATGTCATTGTCTGTGATAAAAAATATAATTTACAAGAAATACAAAAAAGGACAGAAATGGTAGGCTGAAAAAGGCTGAAAAAGAACACACACGCAAGCTTCTCAATCGCGACGGCAAATATTTCTCACCCTAGTAGTAGCTGCGAGCGTACGACGGACACAAGGGTGACTGCTAGCCAGGCCGCGAGGAGAGCCGACGACGTCATCGGTTTCAGGCAAGAGACACCATGAGACAATACCAGCTGAACTGGTCAACGCTGTACGCCTGCCACGCAAAACCAATGAACAAGCCGTCACATCTCGCTCAAAATACACTAAGCAGCGGGTGAAGTAAATGGTTAGGCCTAACTTGAGACATGCTCAATTATAAGAGGTAGGTACCTAATGCAGTTATACGAGGAAAACTTACGTTAGTAAGAAAAAATGACGTCCCTAAATAAGCGCACGAATGCCCAGTGAAGATATCAACTAAAATGTAGGTACAGGGTGTCCAGAAAAAACGGATACTATTATTTTTTGCTGTACTTCCGAAAATAAACACCGCACATTTTAAAATGGCACATGCTTGTATTCGTAAAAATATGGCAAAACAGACAGCAGGTGCCACATGGCATGTAAACACTTTGATTAGTCGCGGCAGCTCCTCAAAGCAGATACTCAATGTGAGCGGCCTTCTGGCGGATCAGCTCCAGCACTAGCACGGTCTGCAGGTGACTGATGGTCCTGTTGACCATCTCGGAGGGCAGACAGACAACTTCCCAACGACGCATTACAGTGCTCATGAGTTTTGCCAAATCTTGCACTATAAGCACATGAAGTTGGAAAAAAATCGGCACGTGCGTTAATGAATGCGACTTAAAGGGAGATAATGAACTTTCTTTTTTCTTAAATAAAAATTACTCGACATCTATACTATTTCTACTGTAGTTTCTATAAAATATGAAAATTTCCTAGCACATTTTCGTATGTGAAAAAGGTTTTTATTTTTGCAAAAAGAAGCAGTACTTGCAGTACTTGTAACACCCACCGAAATGCGTTGTCCTTCTCTATAAAAAAGTCGCAGTATATGGCGCTTTTGTTTCAAACAGCGACGCTTGGGTTTTTGTTTATGTTATCGCCTTGTCGTTGCTTGGTTGTAAGGATTCTAATTTGAATTAGAGTTAATTCGGTTTAGAATTAATTAGATTCTAATTCGGGGGTACATAGTGCCTACTCTTCTTTGTTTCCATGTATTATTTTGCGCCACAAATGAACGGCATGCGCCAGAAACGCAGCCAAATCTTGCGATTGCGACTACGAAATTCATTATTTTGGCCTCAGAGCCTGAAGCGAAAATTACAAGCATATTTATTTCAAAAAGACTTCAGGTTTGTCGAACGGTGTTATGAGAATTTTGATAACAGTACTGCATAAGTTTTTCAGTGATGCCGCAAAAGTGTTGTATCTATCTTCTTTTATTGTGCAGTCGGCGGGACCGATTCAAAATTGAGTCGTTGCTACTAAAATAGCAGCATATGGCGACAGATGATAAACAGGAAAAATAGTTGCGTAAATTTAGACATAAACCACCCCCAAACCATGAATATCTTTTGAAGGCACTATAGACGACCATTAACTAACTAGATGTGATGAAGATCAAATGTAATGAATACGCTCCTTTTACAAAATTACATGCAAGTACCAAAAAGTGATGTAAGTACTAGGGTTGACTATTAAGTAATGGAAGTGCTTCTAGCAATTAAAAGTTTTTGCACGTGCACACATTTTTTTGGTGTCATCACGTGCGCCGATCTTTTTTCTATCCAATAGTGAAGACCAGATGTCTTTAGCTACATTTTACTCTGAGCTATCGACGTTTTTCCAAGAGACCACCCAAACCTGCGGCGCACGACAAAAAAGGAGCCTGGCAATGGCCAAAATCGTGCGCCAGGGCGAGATCACCACGGCTCAGTGGCCAAGTGTTATGGTTACACGAATAAAATAATGTAAGTTGCTATATTTTCATAAAAACAATACATATAACACAATAAATAACAGCACCACTACTCCACATAATCGCCTCATAGCATCACACACCGTTCCAGCCTCTTGACCCAGTCCTGGAACGCCGCCAGGAGGCCATCTTCGCTGATCTGCGCGAGCACACGGCACACCGCCCGTCGCACCTGTTGCCTGGCGCACCTGATGCCGTCGCTCCATACACTTTTAAAAGAAATTTCCTGATCTCAGCAGGCATTTTCCCTACCCTACCACTAACTGAGATTTAATGACCTCGCGCTGGCGCGCGATTTTGGCCATTGCCAGGCTCCTTTTTTGCCGTGCGCCGCAGGTTTGAGTGGTCTCTTGGGAAAACGTCGATAGCTCAGAGTAAAATGTAGCTAAAGACACCTGGTATTCACCATTGGATAGAAAAAACATCGGCGCACGTGATGGCACCAAAATAATGTGTGCACGTGCAAAAACTTTTAATTGCTTAAGGCACTTCCATCACTTAATAGTCAACCCTAGTACTTATTCAACGGTCATTTTCAGCGCTCCCCGCTAACGTGACTTCAAGTTGAGATATTTGCGGCAAGGTACCGAATTGAGCAAAATGGTTATAATTTACATTATAACTTGTTGTGTTTTGTCAGAAAATGGTCCTAACTCAGATTTTGTGGAAAAAGGTCATAATCTCCCTTTAAAGGAAGACTGCCACCTTCAAAAAGTTTTCTCAGATCGGCCTATGATTTATTCCCTGGACAAAACAAAATTTTAGAATTCACCTGACAAAGTATCATCACGTGAATCGCGAAAAAAATTGTCGATTATCATACAATTATCAATCGGTTAATGTCTAGCGACAATGTTTACACATCACTAGACTTCAAGGTCATAAGATTATTACATTTTATTTGAAAAAGTAAGGTATTTTATGATTTACTAATATATGATTTCATAAGAAATTGGCCATGTTTAATTTATTTTGCATTTAAGTTCGTAAAACATTTAAAAATCATGGCTCATTTGGAATGGGTCTGGCCCATGTTAAACCCCATTTCCCACACTTTTTTGGAAAAAATGAACTACTGAATATATAAGTTTAACTTTTATTTTGACACTCCAAAATTCTTCTCTGACCTCGAAACAATCAAAGTTTTGACATATATTTACCAAAACATAAGAAAATTCATGTTTCAAAGTTATCGATAAACAGTAGAGATGTCGGTTTTCTTGGACTAAAAAAATGGCATCAAACTGAACTTTGGTCTCCGATTTCTCGCAAACGCGTTCGAATTTCGGGAAACCGACTTCAGTCTGGGACATAGGTGGCTCAGCTCTAGTGAAAACCGTTTTGTGGAAAAAAGGTGGCAGTCTACCTTTAATTTCCGTAGTCAGGGGTGTCGTTTTCCGAAAATGATTGGTAGGGCCCAAAGGCGGCGGCCGGCCACATGTGGCGGGGCTTAAAAGGTAGGGTACCCCCAAATCTGCCTTTCTCATCGGATTTCGGCCACTTATTTTTTCGCCCTGGTCATTGACAAGACAAACCAAAATCTAAAAACCAGTAAAACGCCTTTTGGGGCGACCACCGGAGCGAGCGAGAGGATGGGCCTTGCACGTGCGAAATTGCGAGGGGGTACCTCCAACTAACTTGTGCACTGCACCCTACTAACCGGTCTTTAGCGATGTGCCAAATTTCAGCGCAATCGGCCTAGCCGTTCTCGAGATCTGGAAGCAGCACACTGCACGTGCGCACGTGCAAGCGGGGTCCAAACTGACTTTTGCACGGCACCCTACTAACTAGTCCCCAACCGTGTACCAAATTTGAGCGCAATCGGCCCAGCCGTTCTCGAGATCTGGGAGCGCCCCCTGCACGTGCGCACGTGCTGTAGCACCCCAACCTTAACACATGCAGATGAATTATCTGATGGAGACCTAACTGTGTACCGAGTTTCAATTCAATCGGCCCAACCGTTGTGCCGTTATTGAGGTTGCAATTTTGGGGGTTCTTAAAAAATGTCCAACTTTACCACGCGCCACTTGCGGTGGTTGGCAAGAACGCATGATGGCCATCACACCACAGAACTTTTACGTCCAAGTGACATTCAGTAAAGAAGACCGCTTGTCAATCGTATGTCCCGTTCCTAAGATATTAGCTTTTGAAGAGCGTCCCCACGGCCGGCCGGCCGGCCGGCCGCTCATACTCAGGATTTTCCCTTAATTCAGTATGAGACTCCGCTCGCTTCGCTCGCTCCGTAAAAAGAAAACATTTTGGAAGTCTAAGTCCTCAACGAGCTCCATGCACAAAACGTGCAGTTAAATAGGCAGTTATAATAGTGTCGGAGGAATGCACGCCATTCTGAAAGAGGCACACGCCGACTTAAAAGCACGGCTGTGCTGAAAGGGGCCAGGGACGGTTTTGATGGCCCAAGCCGAATGAAAAAGACGGCTACGGGGCCAGGAACGGCTTTGAAGGCCCACGCCAATCGCAGGGTTCGACAACTAACGAGGTCTCGAAACACCACGATAGTTAGAAAGACCTGCTTGCCAAAATAAAAGGATGACGGTACAAGCCGGCATTCAGAAAGTTACATGCCCGACCATGAAGAAGCAGAGAGATACGTCATCGACTTATTAGACAAAAAAGTTCATTTATTCAAATAACCCGCGCCCCACTGGGGTCTGTGTATAACACGCCCTACTGGGGGGAGGGGGGGGGGCTATTCATAGCCCCCCCCTCCTAACTCCGAAACTACTGGGCCGATCGTCAAAATTCAAACGGCGTCTGATAGCCCCGGAAAAACTGTCGAGCGAAACCTAATTTCATTGACCTCGAGGTCACCGATGACGTCACAGGTCAGGTCAAAGTAAAAATTATTAGCATTTTTGCTTGTTCACATTTTGGGCTCTGGCCGCCGTCTTACAAGTCAGATCAGGCTCATTTTTGGTTTCCACACTCGTGAACAGATGCTCTAGATACCTTGAGGGTACCAAACTTGTACTTTGATTTTCAGGTCAGGGTCAGGTCATCACAGGTCACGAAAATATTATATCATGCGTCGGTCACGTGACACATGTTTTATGGTCCATTTAGGCCATAGATTTCGAATTTGATGTCGTCTGTGTCATTCGAGGTCATTTTGAGTCGAATTTAGCTTAGGTCAGGTCACTTTCAGGTTCAAAAAGGTCAAATTTTGAAGTTAAAATTTTTCAACAAAAAAGGTGTCTATTGGATGCAGTTTGAGCTCAGGAACACGATGGTGCCATTTATATTGGTGTACGATGTCAAATACGTACTGAAAAATTGATTTGAAAAATTAATAATTGTGAATTTTTTGCAATAATGCGTATAACTTGGCCATTTTTGAAGATATTTAGCTAAAACTTGCTAGAGTTAGTCATAATCATGCATTCTCTCACATATATTCCGGTGTTTTCGAAAAGTCAAAAACTTTTTGAAAAAAAAATATAAAAATATAAATTTTGAATATTATTATATACAATTTTCGAAATTTTCAAAATTTTGAAAATCCGAGATAGCAGTTTGATAGCGCGGTCAATTCTGAGTCCTATCATGCAAAGAAATTGGATCTAGCTTAAAAACTGAGCTCTTGGGAGCGATTGCCGTGGTTCAATGTTTTGCGTCGAAATCGGACGAACATGACGTCACTCTGACGTCATTTCCGGCCGACCTATGGTAGCTACAGAGTTTAAAATTTGAAACAAGGTGTCAAATTGATGCAGCCGAAGGTACTGAAAGTTTGGCGTCGATCCGTCAAGCGGTTTGGAAGTTATTGCAGAAAAACGGGAGGGGGGGCTATAAATAGCCCCCCCAGTGGGGCGCGGGATAACCACCGCTAAGACAAACACATTTCGCGCAGCGCTTCGGCCTTCGGGAGAGCCCTCAAAGTCTCCATAATCAATTGGGTTTTGGACCCATCCCACGTCCAAGACGGCTGCTTTAGTCTCCCTGCAGTCAGCGAAGCTGCCACTGCTAATTTCCTTATGCTGGGGAAGAGGTGGCAACCAGAGGGTGCAGGGTTCGGAAAAAAAGTGGATGCGACAACAACTCGAAGCCACATTTCATCACTTAACTTATCGTCACCCCGCGCAAGTACGCAGGTGCGTGGCCGTGGATCAGTTGCACACTTTATGTCAGCTTCCCTATAGCCTCTCCTCGATGTCTATCGAATGGACGCACATCATCAATTGTGCGCCCCTGTTTTAGAAAGTTGACAAGCAGAGCCCCGTCGGCATACCAAAATGTAACCACTATCACTTTGCCGACTAACTTCAACTCGTACCACTCATTTGGTGGCCGTTACTCGGTGTGCACTGTGCTTCCACTTGCGCAACTCGGCACGGTGTCCCTTAGTGTCAACGTGTGACGCCCACAATTCCTTTACGGTGACAAGTCAATGATATCTTCTAGATATTCGATAACCTTCCAGGCGGTGGGGGGGGCAATTTTTTGCCCCCCCCCCCCTTTAGTTTTTTCGATATATCTCGAGAACCGCTGCGCCGATCGTCACCAAACTTTCAGTACCCTCCCGGGAGCAGCTAGCGCACATGGTGACCAAAATTTTTTCCAAAGGCTATGATAGGTTGGCCGCTAATGACGTCAGAGTGACGTTATTTTTGCCATTTTCGACCCAGAAAAAGGTTTCGCGGGAAGAGCTGTCAGGCCTACAGCTTTAGAGACACAGAAAAATGTTTCGGACATAAAAGATGTAAAATTAAAAGGGCTACAAAATTGCTATTTCGGTGTTTCGAATTTTTTGGATTTTGACCCCACAAAATCAAAAAATAGATTTTTTGAATATAATAGCCAAAAAATCCAAAAAGTTTTTTGAATTTCGAAAAAACCGGAATATATGTGATAGCCCCTACCGCCTTCTATCTACATACCAAATTTGAGATCGATACCTCTTTTTTTGGCCAAGTTATAGCGAAAAAACTGTTCAAAATTGATGACGTCAAATTTTCAAACTCAATTTTTAGCAATTCTAGACCTCGTAGCGCAAAACAAAGATCACCATTAGACTCCCCGTGACGAGCTGCATCGAATCGATACCCATTTTATGCATAAATATCAACTTTGAAATTTGACCTTTTTTGACCTGACCTTGACCTGACCTCCACCAGAAAGTGACCTAAACCGTACCTGATGGTCTTATAACCAACACCATTGAGTTGGAAATGAAAAACTGGCCATAAAACATGCATCGCATAACCTTAGTAAAGTTGGGCTCATGTGGTGACCCTTGGTGACCTTTGGTGACCTGACCTGTGACCTGACCTGGTATGACCAGTGACCTCTAATAGCAACATATGTACTAGACAACCGACGCCTTATCGCTGATTTTCGACAAAATGCGTTTTACTCGGTGTTATAGCGCTTTCCCTAGAAGCCCCGTGAACGGTGAAACATTTTATCTTTGACCTGACCTGTGACGTCATCGGTGACCCCGAGGTCAATGAAATTTGGTTTCCCTCGACAAATTTGACAGGGCTATCGAACGCCGTTTGAATTTTCCGGATCCGTCCAGTAGTTTCGGAGATACGGGGGGGGGGCAAAAAAGTGCCCCCCCCCACCGCGCGGAAGGTGGCTGGTAGGCCCACCGCCTGCCGGGATAAGGGGCCAAACACCCCGCTAAGCCTCCTTTCGAGCTTGCCTTTTCTCTGCAGTGTCAGCAAACGGGGGATACATCTTGCAGAGATCTTAAACATAGCATGATAGATTCCAGTGGCGTAGCCAAGTGAGGGGGGGCACAGGGGGCGCGTGCCCCTCCCATCGGGTCCAAGGGGCCCTTCGGGTCCCTGCGGCGCCAATCGGCCGCTGAGGGTCCACGCTGGCCATATTTCGTCTCAAAGGGACCCCACAGGGCTCGTCAGAGCATCTCATGGGCCCTTAAGTGGCGTATTAAGATCTTCGTAAGTGCCCCACGCCGGCTTCTTAGAGCCCTTGTCACCAGTTAAGGCCCTAAGAGGCCGCCAAGGGCCCCTTACCAGCCTGCCCCTCACGGTCTCTGAGAATCTCTTGCTGGCCTCTAAGGGCCCATTGGTGGCCTTGGCTCTGAGGGCGCATTGGTGGCCTCGGCTCTGAGGGCCTATTGGTGGCCTCTGAGGGCCCTTACCGGCCTATTAGGAGCCGGCTCTACGAGCTGCATGCCCGCCTGTGATGGTCCAACACCAATTCTCTTAGGGCCCCAATAACTGTGAGGAGTGCCTCTGATAGCCCACACCGGCGTTTCTGAGAGCCCACGCCGGCGTTTCTGAGGCCCCTTCTCCCTCAGTTCTGAGGGTCTTCATCAGAGGCTCCTAAGGCCCTACACCAGCGACTCTGACGGCTCCACTGAGTCCACACTGGTGACTCTGAGGGTCCCAGTGGCGTCTGAGAATACTATTCCGGTCTAAAGGGACCCCCTCGGCGCTCCTGAAGGCACCACCGACCTCTGAGGTCCCCTTGTCGTCCTATGAAGGGCCCGCACCAGCACTCAGCTCAGCAGCTCTAAGGGTCCCACGCATATCTGTGATGGCCATAAACCAGTGTATCTGAGGGCCCCGAAACGGCGCTTAAGAGGGCCCTCACCGGCGACTGTGTAGGTCCCACTCCGGCGCCTCTGAAAGCCCCACACATATGCATCTGACGGACACCCACCAGTGACTTTTGCGTGGCCCACACCGGCAATTCTGAGGATCCCACCGGAGTCTGAGAGTACCGTGCCGTTCTCTAAGGACCCCACTGAACTTCTGAAGGTGCTGCCGGCCTCTGAAGACCCTTTGCCGGCCTGAGGAGTGAGGACACCTTGCCGTTCCCTAAGAATCCCCTGCCGGCTTGCGAAGGGTTCGCGACAGCAGCTCCTACGGCCCACAGGCCACACACATCTGTGACCAATGTACATATATGCTTATTTGCTTATCTGTTTATTTTGATTTTTTTACCAAGTGACAAAAGATTGGTAGAGCTCAGCGAACACTGGTAGGGCCCAAATAAACATTGGTAGGGCTCGGGCCCTACCAGGCCTATACAAAACGACGCCCCTGTCCGTAGTATCTTTTTTTCTGGACACCCTGTAGGTCGACTGCTTAGGTAACTAGCGCTAGCGCAAGCCATTCCCAGCACGAGAAACCCAAAGGAAAAAATGGTTCACTTGATTTCTTGCAAACCAATACCTAAACTCACTTTCATCATCAACCGACGACACATTTCCTCCCGTTTGAAAAAAAGAAAAAATGAGCATGCCTTCAAAAGTAATCATGGGCTAGAGAGCACTGGCAGCGTAAGGCTGTAGCTACTACAGTGGTCGGCACTCGTACGCTTTCCTGCTTAACCAAAATGATACCTACCGCGACGCATAGACAGGCACCAAATAACGGCATATCTACCACGCATGAAGTTTATAGTCAAGACCATACTCACTGTTTCACGGATCAGCAGTGGCCGCTGTGACCATCATCAATGGCCCGTGGGCCAAAATCAGCGTAAAACTCAACAAAAGTCTACAAAAGTAAAACAACTAGTAAAAGAACTACCCAAAACAACTACCTCTAGTAAAGTAACTACCACTGCACATCTGTCGCCAGCTACAACTGTCCAGTGCTCAGCCGTCAACCACACTGAATCATTTTTTTTTTACAAGTGCACTCTAGTGGCGGTATACTATCAGCCACTTAGTTCCGGAGCGTTCGCAGCTATCTGCACCAGTTTCCTGCTCCTGTATATAAAGGACACAATACACATGAACACATGGTGACAGGCGGTGACAGGCTGTCTTAAAGGGACACTCCCACCTTAACATTAGTTTTGAGTTGAGATAGCCAAATTGGTGGCCATGGCCTGCAAATACCGGTTTGGGCACTCACAACGTCGAAAAATGCTTTAATTCGAAGATATGGAATTTCAAACTTGCAGTTTTCGGATTCTAAGGGGCTAATGCATTGGAATGCCCCCTTAGAATTTGTGACGTCAGCGGAGATCTAACGATTTTTAAATCTTAGACTAAAACCATCGTTAACACGTGGTGGTATACGCTGCTTTGCGCGCAACGTCTGCCGCACTTTAAGGCTGCCAAATTATTGCTTCCAAATAAAGTCGCTAGTAACAGGGGAGATCCCAAAAAGTAAACAAAAGTAAAAGCCTAATATCTTGAAAACCAGTGAATATTTTTCGGTGAAATTTGGTAGATATTCGTTTTCGCTCTTTCTGAACCAAGGGACATCACTTTCATGCCAATTCATTAACTTTTTTGAAGGTGGGAGGGTCCCTTTAACTCTTAAGAACCTTTCGGTTGTGTGAATCATGATGTGAAGCCAGGGTTCACTGTGTATTTCCATGTACAGTCAGTCATGAAAGTACCGCGCAAAGTAACGGCGGATCCATCAAGACTGACCGAGGAAGGGACTGCTAAATTTGAGTCACCGAAGCAATTGACATTCTCGTCCATTCCCCAGGTCAATTGGTTCGGTGACTTTCAAATTAAAGCAGGCCCCTCCTCGGTCAGGCTTGATGGATCCACGGTCAGTCTTGAAAGTAGGGCACCTACTGGGCATCGTTGCAGTAGATCCATAAATCGCGACCGAGGAAGGGCTGCTAAGTTTGAGAGTCACCGAATCAATTGACCTGGGGGATGGATGACGATGTCCATTGGTTAAAGATGATCCTCAAATCAGGAGCCATTTCTCGGTCAGGCTTGCTGGATCCACCGCAACGATGCGCGGTACTTTCAAGACTACCTATAACCACTTCTTGCAGCATACACCCACCGCTGACATATTGGCATCATTATGTGAGATGTTTTTCGTACTCCAGCCATTATGTTCCGTTTTATCGGACATACAAGAGTTTTATCGTCCTTAGCGGAATGGCCAAGGCACGACTAACTAGATCCGGCCTACTTCATCGACAAGGGCTTAGCTTACCAGTACTTTTGGGATACGTGGGTAGTGAAGGTAGTGCAGCCAAGCAAGGGCCCACGTGGCTCCTCGTTGCACTGAATATTGAATGTCTACTAACCATATGATAGTGATAAAGGTAACATCCTTATATCAGCTGGGAGCATTTGTGTGAAGAGCGATATACAGTAAAATCCACTTAATAAATCCACCTTGATGACTCGGCGTTATGGATTTATTACGCGGTAACTTTATTAATCGGCGTCAGTTATGCTTCTATGGAGAAAACCGTGAACAGATCGAGTGGGCACAATAAGCAGCTGGATTTATTTTACGACGATGCATTAAGCGGATTCTACTGTAGTCTGTAGTAGGTACCAGACTCCGTCGGGCGATACCACACGCCACCACACACAGTTGATGATGTTTGGATTTTAGGAGTGTTCGGGCTCGTCAATTTGTGTACCGCTTGCTCGGCAAATGTACTTGTCCAATACACCTATCTTAAAGATCTTGATGTTTATTTTTATTTTTGTGCAAATTACATACCTACTACCTACTACAATATACGGCTTCGCTTTCATTTTTCGACGCCCTCAAGCCTCAACTAGAATCTGATCAATTTCAATCATCACCATTAGCTATTTAACATAAGAAAGCGTTCAAATCATCATCTCTTTGACATAGTTATCTTCTTGTCAGTCATTCTACCCACTTACCTACATACCCCCATCATCATGACTTCGCATGCCATGAATTGGAGCCTCAAGAGATGCTCTTCGCCAGAACGCAGCTTTACCTGCAATTTTCCACGCTTCGTGGCTTACAACACCGCATACAGACACCTAGCGAGGGTCATGCTCGCTTGCGCTTTTCCGCTTACCCAGCGTCTACGACCTCTGAGGTGAATTAGGGCGCACGACCCGCAGTGCGAAGCACCGCCCACATTTGCACAATTTGACGTGCACTATGCCGGGGGAGGCTGTGGGGAGCAGGTCGTTGTTCCGCTGCGCCACAGGACCCGGCTTAGAGGTTTCGGCAGCCAGCGTGGTGCGAAGGGATCGAGAGGACGTGCTACACGGGTTGTGGTCGAAATGAAGTGAGCGCCCAGTGTGCGATGACGGTGTAGTGTGCTTTATAGGAGCTGCTATGGCAATCGTGATGCGCCGGTGATCGAGAGAGAAGAGAGATAAGTGTGTGCCTGGAGAGTAGAAACCAGCAAGAAGACGAGAAGATCGCTAAAAGTACGACGAAAGACCACGTTCAGCTGTGCTTGATACTGATAGTGAAAAACTGAAAGAGTGAAAGGCGTGTAAAACGTGTAAGACTCCTTACTCCTTAGACGGTTGATATGTGCCCCTGAACAATTATTAGGTTGACAAGGTATGAAGAGTGAAGAGGCGAAGTGGGGATGACCTTTGTCTTCTTCCTTGATTGATTGATCACAAACAGATCCACGACTGGAGGAAGCTCCTTAGAGAAAGATTATCTCTGAAGACATTAAATGCGGTGCGAGCGACTTTAGCGAGTGTCATTTGAGCGAACGTCATTTGAGCGAACCATTTTCAGCGACTGGCAACTTAGCGAATATCAAATTGAGCGATTATCAAATATAGCGATTATCAATTTAAGCGAAAGCTATGCTTCAGCGACATCTATTTCGTCGACTACAGTTTGAGCGACTGTCATTTCAGCGAAGCACTTCATCGTCCCGTAACGGTGTATTTTTTCTTTTTCCTTTTGCGAGCGTACGTACAACGAATGTTTCCGGAACTTTTCATGGTTATCCGGAACTGGATGGCGGATGTCACGTGCAAAGTTCAGACATTAAGCTCCAAATTTAATGCCACATTTCTCAAAAATTTCAGCGGTTCGATTTCACCCCCCCCCCCCCCCCCCTGCTGTTTGCCAATCAATAATGATGACCAAACGTTTGTTCAGAGATTCATATTGCTTGTGCTGTTTTTCGCGAAATTCCCCCGCTTGAGTTTGGATCAGTTCCCCATGTTGTAAAATTTGTTCTTGCCCTAAGCAACGTACGAATTTTCAGATATTTGGGTGAGGTCCCTGAAACATAGACTGGATCCCCCTGTGCCATCCCTCGAGTTTATAATTGGTCCTTGGCATTCCTTCCATCGTCCTATCTCTCACGTTCCACATTTCCAGATCAAGGTTGCAGAATGAGGCCAGATATTTTTGTGGTTTCCAAGCTTAAAAAGCAAATTTTTAATTTGCCGCTTGAAGCATGACACATACCAAGCGGGTATTCCAAGGGCAAGACTTCCCGAAAAGTAGCAAATGATTGACTTCCGTCGCGTTCGGTTTCGCTGTAACTGTGTTCGCTCAATTGGTCCCCCATTGACCTCCATATATTCGCTCAATCTGGTTTCGCTGATTCTGGTCCTCGCTTAAGTTGATAATCGCTGTGATTGAATTCGCCGACTTGGCAATCGCTGAAATAGTCAATCGCTTAAATTGATAATCGCTGAAAAGGCTTCGCTCAAATGTCGTTCGCTGAAATGACGCTCGCTCAGGTGTCGCAGAACCCATTAAATGACGTCGTCAATCTTGCTAACGGTTTTGTTCTTTGCTGTGTCACGAAGCGAGAATGCAACAAGTCCTGAAGAAAAGCTTCCAGAGCCTGCAAGTTTTTCAATACCTCACTATTATCCCCAATCTCCATGGCAACCAACGTTGCCATGGCAACCGACTCGGAATGCGTTCTCTTTGAATGGGAACCCAAAATATAGCTCCAATCCTAACGGGTCAATCCATCCTGGAAGCTCACAAGAAACCATCGGGTCAGACCTGAAAGCGCTATCGTCGAGTAGAAGATCCAAAGTTAGGGAAAATGATGGGAGAGGAAGAGAATGGCGAAAAGGCTCGGGAGACAACGCCCGCAGACGAGTCGGTGAGTCACACGTGATCTCAGAATCAGGTGGAAACCAGAGACCCAGTGAGAACGACGATCCATTCCGAACCGCTCACTTCTCTGTGCGCCCACTGAGTATGTCTCCATTAGAAAAACAGCGTCTCGAAAGTGAAAAGTTTCGCGATTCTGGAAACGTTCCGACCGACCATCGGCCCTTAGCGCCCGATGGGCAGGCCCAAAACTACGAAAGATATCCCCCACACGCCTCACAAGACCCAACTCGAGGCGACACGCCATCCCAAACCTACCGAAGTCGCTATCCCTCAGATTTCGGCGCCGGGTTCCATTCCGGTCCCGGAATCTCTCAAGGTTATGGCCAAAACTTCGGCCCCGGCTATAACGGCCGTCAGAACGGCGGCTTTGGCTACAACGGCGGCTACGGCAGCAGCAGCTACAGCGTTTACAACCAGGGATACAGCGGCTCATACAACACAGCACCCTCGTCAGGAATCCGAGGCTGGTACGACCGCTTCCTCAGCGGCATGTCAGGAGGATATGGCGATCAAGAGGAATGTGACTGCGTGGCTTACAACCTCCTTGGTCTGGGGGCTGCGGCGGCAACTTCGGCAGCGCTGGCGGCCATCTTTCTCTTCGCCAACCTCACCAACGTCGGCCGGTCGCTGGAGGAGGAGTGGTCACTCGGTGTCGAGGTCATCGACCTGACAGCGTTCCTCGCCGAGCCGTTGGGTCACCTATCGCGAGGAGAGCGGGTCATATGGGACGGTAGTGATCCGAGGTCAGCGTTCGGCCGAGTGCTACATCAGCTGCCGGAGGGAATGATGCAGAGGTCGCTTCTGGATCTCGCCGAAAGAATCAAGCCTCACGCATTGGCCGATACAGCTGTGAGAGCGGTCTGTTATGGTTCAGGTTACAGAAGTAAAAGGCGAAAAGAAAACGGGACCTCAACAATTACAGGAAGATTTCTGGATAAAATTGGAATCGGCGCAAGAGATGGTGAGTACCCACTGCACGAATGATAGGTATTGGTGATAAGTTCATAGGCGTGTACAAGTCTACTACGCTTTTACTTGGCTGGTCATATGTGCTGCGAGTAATACATACTCTAAGTTTCCATTCAACAAAACAAAGCATTATTACGACTCCAACTAGATTATCCAAAGCTGTATAAGAAGTAGCTAAACGCTTTTAGTTAAGTCAATTCCTTGACATAACGTAGAAGCTAGAAAATTGCGAATCAGCTACGTTACTGTTGAGCTATCGTCACAACATGATACGTTTTCCCGTTACACAGACAACTGTATCTAACACTTCAATCAACTGTCGTGACGAAAATATCCACTCGTCCCTTTCCGACTCTCATGACATATTGACATGAACTTCTCCAGGTCATAGGTGAGCTCAAAGACATTCATGAAGAGCTCATAATCTGCATATTCGAGGCATACATGTGAATTTTGTTAAAGGTGTACTGGCGTTCCTTTCTATGTACGACCAATGTGTGACTGTTTCACTGCAACGACTTGAAATTTATCGATGAGTAATACATACTCATGGCCGACGGCCACCGCATATACGACACATAACCAAGAAACAATTGACATTCACGACACATGGCATACGTAGCAGTGATCTGACCTCCTGACCTAGTACTCGTGACCCGTTCACATCACACACATCGCAGCCCTCACGGATACCCAACGGGCTGTCTGTCACGGTTCAAAAACCACCCGCCGTCTCAAACTCGCGAAAAGCACGAAACATGCGCACCGACGCAAACGGAGCATAACTGCAGGCATAAACCACGGCTGATGGATGGGTTAATAGGGGTGCACCGTTACAAATTACCTCGGCGTCAAGCAGGGGTCTTGCCGGGGTTAGTCGTAGGTGCGCAGTGCTAGGGGTGGGGTCGCCAAAGGAAGGGGAACCTCGTCGCACATCCAGAGAGCGGCTCGTGAAGCGTGATCAGGCGCGACTCAGCACGGACGAGTGACACCGGACGAGGCTTGCAACATTTCTGTCTGTCAGTGGCGCTTAGATAAGCATTCTGGTTGCTCTGGACATCCTTTGGATCTTGCAATACAAGAAAAACTGGCTATTGAAGACTGGCTATTGAAGAGAATTTCGATATTCGATCAAGAAAATAGCCCGGAACGGCAGAGTGCCTCTATTAATTGAAAGCCCAGCTTAACAAACTGCTTTGAGATAGCAAATTGTTAAGCAATTTTGGCATGACTATTACGTTATCACAAGTTGAATTTGCTAGGCACCTACTAATGCATACTGAAGTTCCTAGAAGCCATTTGAAGTAAGATCCGCGATTCACCCGACAAGCACAACGTACCAAAGTGAAATCATGGGCTCTAACTTATGCATTGCGATAAGTGATCCGTGCTTCTAGTGACCTGACGTGAAAACCGTCCAGCCCCTGCTTAGACAGCCACTATGAAGCCACGTTCGGTCTGTCTTCTGGTGATTTTAGCTGGAGCCATGTCCCTATCTTCCCTAGGTCTTGAGATTCCCTCCGGAAATCATTTAAGTCTCGCTCAAAGTTCATCTCGCAGTCCTCTTCCATCCCTTCCATACGCAGTGGCCGAGAGCATACAAAAAAGAAGCGCCTCAAAGTCTCCTAAAGCAAGCGTCGATTTGGACTCGGGCAGGAGAAACTACAGCGCAACGACGGACATCCCGGCTACGAACGGAAATCCGAGTGCCGATTGGGGCACCTCGACCGTCTTCCCGGGTCCGGACAGAATAAGAGCAATATACGAGCTCACTCAGGCGTCTCTGAGACCTGACGGAGTGAATTCAGTGACAGCCAGCTACGGCGAAAATATCCGCGCTGCTTGGGGAGAAGATAACTTCAAAGTGAACGATAAAAACGACCGTAATAGAAGAGGGCGTTATAGCGAATCGAAATACAATGACGATCAGGTCTACATGGACACTGCTAACACTCCCATAAGAGAGACGACTATGTCCTCTGATAGAGCTCAATACAACAGCTACCCTTCATCAGCCCTCTCAGGGACGGGTCCCTCTGGACTCTCCAGACGTCGGCTGTGGCGCGACTGGGGCGACCCCTATAGCAGCGGCGACTGGCACGACATCTACAATGCACGTGGGGAGTTTGGCGAGCAGATGTCGGCCAGCGGAGGCGGCTACGGAGGGGGCACTTCCTACGGATATGGAGGCTCTCCGTCCTGTGAGTGCACTCAGTACGATGTTCTGGGACTCTTAGCCGGAGGAGCAGCCCTCGCCGGCCTGGGGGCGTTCGTTCTACAACAAATCACAGCAAACAATGGAGGAGGAAGGGCTCACGAAGGCAACTGGCTTCTACAACTGCCCTCATTTCTACGCACCAGCAATCACCTAGACAATTCGGCTGATTTTTCGTCGATGCCAAGTTTTTCAAGCCTCCTGCTGGAGCCGTGGCATCGTCTTACACACGGTGAAGGCGTGATATGGGATGGCAGTGACCCAAGATCCGCGTTCGGACACCTGCTGTACCAACTTCCCGAGGGGTTCATGCAAAGGTCACTGACCGACCTGGTGGCCAAAATATCGCCGCGGGCTATGGCAGACGTGGCCGTGCGCGGTGTCTGTACCGCCTCGGGCTACGGAGAGAAAGAAACTGGTGACCGGCCTATCTCCAGAAGAGAGATTAGGGACGACCCTGCCAGCGCGAGAAGTGGTGAGAAGGGGAGGGCTAATTGGGATAGGTATCTTTTATTATAATATGTCGTTCGAGAGCGCTCCTGCGTAGTGCGTACACAAATTAAGGAAGTTGTCGGTACGTAACTGAGATTATGATGAAAAACCGTAGCCTCATATGCAATCGGCTGTGCCAAAGTTGTAAGAAATGAATCGTTGAAATCTCCTCCGGCGTTCGGGAACAATTATAGCAAAGTATGCAACACATGAGACAGGTAGAATGCAAATGAGTAGTTTCTGTGCATGCCATTCATTGCGACAACATCTTTAATGCAGTCACACCCACAACGTAAGCATGTCGCCAAGTGAAAAAGTATTCATCGCAATTATCGGTACATGATAAAGTGACATAAACACTTTTCTAATCCCTGAACAAAGACCACCCCTCTCCTAAGCTTCTTCCATTTGACCCACAGGATCTATCAATATCGACATAAACAATCGATAGCCAAAAGCCACCATGTTCAATGCCCACTCCCCCTTTGATCCTGCAGGTTACGCCAGCTCGGGAGGCAGCTGCGACTGTTTTGCGGGCATTGTGGGTGCCTTGGCTGGGTTCGCAGCACTGGGAGCGCTGGTGGCCTTCGCCATCGCTACGGCTACCACTACCACCACGACTACAGCAGCCCCGGCAGGCACCGGAGGCAGGGCGCTGATGCCGCCAGGTGGGTGGTTAAGGAGGTTGGTGGGTTTTAATGACGAGTTCAAGGAGGGGTTGTAATGTGTCCATGAAGTAGAAGTCTGACGTCGTCGTAGTTACACCTCATAAAGATGTATGTCTCACGTGAACTCTAATAAAGGTGGGAAAGAGCTGGGAAAGAGTTCGTTATGCGTAGTCACAGCGCATTCAATAGCCATTACAGATGTAGTAGGGACATTTGGAAAAGTAGTGGCTAAAATGTTAGTTTTAACAGCACCTACGGCACGGGTGCTGCCGAGTTCTGCCCTCTGATGGTGGCAAATTTCACTAATGATAAAAACAACAGCCCTCCAATACCTTCACTAACCCATCTCGGCCAATGCCAGGCGACTTCAACCACTAATTCTACCAGTTCTTCCCCTGCTCGCAGACGGAGGAGGCATGGTGGACCCCTTGACGTCCAGCTTCGTGCAGAGGATGCTGCTTCTGCTGACTGAGGAGCAGGAGTGCTTACCTCACCAACTTTGTGTCCTATCCAGAGACGCCCGCGAGGCGGGAGACCCATATTCTACACTGGTGCAGCTTGGAAGGTGAGAAGTGAGAACTGCGCTATGATGCGCTAGCGTTATCGTTATATGTAGCTTGGTGGTGCTGGTCTGAGTCTGGTGGTACCGACTTTTGGCAAGACTGGTGATTCTGATTACTCGGGCTGAGCTTGATGATTGCGAGAAGTGATGAACATGATTTGCCTCGTTTTGCGAATGACTAATGCCCTTCGAGGAGTTCGACACTTCCGAGTATTCAGTTTTGGCTGTGATCTTAGGAAGACAGCATTGCAAACGTCCATACTTGCACAATCAAAATGCAAAATGAATACATGTAACTAATATTTCATCCTTCGTTTCAGTTTGCCGCTTTCGTGGTTTTTGACAAAAACCATCGGCGGCAACATGCCCGAGTACTGCAGTGGTCTGATGACGTCACAGGTTCGAGGCCAGTGTCTGCACACACCGGAAAGATGCCAATCCTAGCTAACAACAGGACGCCGGATGGAAAGGACTGTGACTTCTAAGATGGGAGAAATCCGTGGCGAATCAACAGACTTGCCAATGACCAAATGGAATAGCGATCACAGTGCAATGCTTTCGGCATTTGAAGCCATAACTCTACGAATGACGCGACAGCTCTAACAGTTACTAGTCGCGACATCTGACATCTTTATTGTGGCGCCGGCGAGGTTGACCAATGGCCACCAGCCAACAAGTTGTAAAAGGAGCCTGGCCTCAGCTCGACAAATGTGATGGCATTCCTTGCGGGAGACTGGAACAATGTTCAACACGCGTATTGTGAACTGTTTTGGGGAAACCTAAAAACAGGACTTTGCTGATGCCTAACGACTGAACAAAGGAAGCCACAGCCAGCGGCGAAAGAGCATCGATCTAACAATGAATAATGAGGCGTTAATGAAGGATCACGACCACTAGAGTGGATGATAGTTTATCTGGGTAATGATATATTTATGTCTAGTGAATTAAAAATGAACGACCAGAGGCATTTAAGATAAAGGCATTAAACAGGCCGACCACTCTCGAGTGTTTTGACCTGCTTGGATGTCCCCAAAGGTATTCAATATATATTCCATAGTCAATTGTTTTCATGAAGTCCTTATGTTCACCTATGTTTTACGTAGATGTGGTATTTGTATGACCTGCGGGAGGTATGCCTCGGATTGAATCAAGGTTAGTCAAAGGACTGGTGCTCTTTCAACCTGCAGTCTCCCATATATGTTTGATACGGTCACATTAAAGTCACCGCCCGTTTGCTTACATATCGATCAATGATTCCGTGAACCGTGGGGACTTCACAAATAATCATTCTCGTCCGAAGACTTCTCGACCGCTCGATCGCTTGCTAAGAGATGTGCATTGTGCACTACTGACCCCACACAGAAAACATCAAGCCGAAGAGGTTGTCGCCAGTAACTAGTAAAGGATTCCGGCAAATGTAAAGAAAGGTAACGGAACATGAATTGGATACTTCCAGCCGCTTCACGTGTGAAAACCTGGAGCCCACACTTCGTCACGCTGCTGAATCGCCAGCCCACGACGGTCCAGCCCAATATCCGGCCGACCAATACGGTCTATTTTCGCCGTATCAGCGGGCCGATATCGACCTTACGGCCGGAGCGGCGCATTGAACGCTCCCTCCCCTGACCCTGGCAGCCCATGCTAGCCGTATCCGTCGCTGTAACACGCGTGTATTCACTGAAGACTGGGTCTTCCCATGGGGTTTCGAGGTATACGCCACCAATGGGACATGACAAGGACCTCGTGAAGTAGAAAATAAACGGCTCTGGCTACATTGTTTGGCTACCAGTTATCACGGGCCCGTGGCTGAGAGCTTGCTTTCAATGGCGAAGTAAGCACTTAGCACAGCACGGGTAAGACAGATAAGCAATTATTGGTTGTTGGTAGGCTAGGCTGTAAAGGCAAATCGGAGGCTGGTCAAAGCTTGATGTAAATGTGCTCTCGTATGTGTTATGTGCGTCTATCCCAAACAGTTTCGATAGGATAAACCTGCCAGTAGTCAGTACTGATATCTGCAGTTTTTTTTTACCCAAAGCCTTCCTTCAGGACATGTATCTCAATCTCAAGTCTGTGTAGGTCATTGTTTCAAAATGTTATTGAGGCTGTACGCCTACACCTTTCTTTCTGAGGCCCTCCCCTGGCAAACTGGCTTCCGCCGCTTCCGGGGCCACGCCACACATTCATTGTTGCAACAAATTCAATTTTTGTCTCAGCTGATGCCTACTTGATAGCTCATGCCTGCCAATTGGCACCTCCAAAAGAGTTTCGTGGTTCGCAACACACCCTTCCCCGTCGTCTATGACGCATGCAGAGCCAGCGGTCGTGGATTCACCTTGGCCCGTGAGAAGGACGCTCCGTCCTCTCAGGCTGTCAGCCGTTCCCGTGCCAACGCGTGGCTCCCAAGGTAACGGGTAACACCTATAGGCTAGCCCAACGCTGTCATCATATATGGGGGTAAATAAATCGTATGTATAACATTAAAATAAAAACAACTTAGCCTCCAGCATGGCAGCCTCCAAGTACATGTGTTTCCGTGCTTTAAAACGACAACTCTAAACCAAACGCGTTGCACTATTCCCGCCACATTTTGACCTCGTGGCATTTCCCGCCACTCGGCGCGCAGAGGGCGCTGCTGACTGCTGCCAGCCCCGCGCGCCAGTTTTTGCCGCCATCGCGGCCGCGCCCCAACCACGCGGTCGCGTCACGCCAGTGCAGTGGAAAACTACCCGGCTCCCAGACCAGTTGTTGACTTTAGAGCGGCCAGATTTCAGCGGACGAACCCGGAGTGCACGCGAAGCCACGTGGTACTCGTTAGGCCAAATGGGATCTGCGAATACAGTGGGGAGACAAAGCAGAAGTGCCGAAACTGAGGTTCGACATAAGCTGGCAAGTGGCAGCGGTTGCATGCCGATAGTGCTGCGATTGATGAAAGAACCACCCCATCCTACCTTTATCCTCACATGTCCATTCCGCAGTCTGAACTTTGGGAATAACGGTCGCAAGTTAATGAGTTACGACCCCACTGACAAGTTGGCCAAAAAGCGATTTTAGGGTGGGAGAGAGGAAACTTTCGACGTCAAATACTTCGATGCTGGTTAGGATGCTCTTTGAATGATACTCATATGTTTACTTCGCCATACTAATCGTTATTTCAGTTCTCTGAAACCTGACGGCCTAAGCCAGGGAACTATGACCGTGAACGTGTCCGCCGTGCCAAAAACCGGCCGCTCTAGCTTGGCACGCCGCCCGCGTCTGCCGGCCGGACCTTCCAAGGCGAAACAACGCGCGCGGGGCCGGCCGCTTAGTAACCCAGGAGATGACTAATCCCACGCGACCCGGAGGTAGCCAACGATTGGACAGAGGGGATCGAAGTCCTGTTGTTGCAGCCTTTACGAACCGATGCATCTCAGGTGGAATTAGGAATAGAATCGTCAACAAGACACTTCAGTCAATAATCAGCCCCCGAACGGCATAGTCCTCAGAATCAGATCCCGCTGCGCTAAGAAAACCACTTGCGCTTTCTTTCGCGTACTCTCAACACTTTCTCAAAACACAGAGCAGAAAGCGAAGCAGTGTATTTCCGAGAACATCCAAAACTGCGTGCGTCGTTTTCTACGAACACCGGCTACATTATCAGGAATGTCACAGAATGTTTCGAATAGACTGCAGGACAAAGCCCGCAAAACAGGACAGATATCGCTCCAACCGCAGTGCACGGCGTGCCTAAAGATGCGACCACAAAATGCCAACCAATCACGAGCGGGGACAAACAGTGCAGATCACGCGTTGCGCGACCTCGCAGCCAAAACAATCACAAAACACACGAACCACCGCGCAGAAGAATTGCTGACGGATAACCGCATCTGCAGTGCGGAGTCGCGAATGTCGCGGTACTATCTCGCCAAACAGATGCTAATTGACACGAACGAACGTGAGGAAACATCGCCAGAACGTCACGAAATTCACAAAAAGTCGCCATATCCAGCGAGAAAATCAGAGATCCAGGAGAAAGATCGCTATTGGCAGCGCTGATACAAAGTTGGGACTCGCTCGGTGCGCGAGTGGGCGACCATCGTCGTCACCGTGGCATCGGGCGTTTACTTGAGCTCATTGCAGTCGGCAATGACGATCTTCTTCTTGGTGCTGCCAGACGAGGTGCCTGTGGAAGGGGAGCAGGGGAGGGTCAGTGACGCGCCGACCACCTTCGTGCCGTCGCGGACCGGCCGACCACAGTCGATGCGGTCAATGAGCGACGCTGGCCGGTCGAGCGCGGTTTATGCCAACGTAATAGGCTGTTGATTGCCCAGTTCCCGGGCTGTGGTATGAAATAGCCTAGGGTCGTGGCTCCAGGCGGTTCGGCGAAATCAGCCCCAGCCCCGTCTACAGAAAACATGACTGCTTTTGAAAGCAGTGCCCAGAAATGGTATTGCTAGAAACTGCTAAGGATATAAAAAACTGCGTGACTTGACGGAGAAGAAAGCACGAAAAAGCGAGCCTGTGGGACATTACGGTCAAGTCATTCCGACATATGTGGGCTTCAGGATTGCACCTGCAGATAAAAAATGCGTGCAAACGCCGCTTGTTATATCTGTGAAAGCAGATAGCAACTAACGAATACTATAAAAAAACAGCACCAGCATACCATATCTCTCCATCATCCCGACAAAACTACCCTCACTCCTTTCTCTTCCTTTCCTGAAAGTTCCACCAGCCTCCCTCCACCCCCAACCAAGCTACTTTTACCCATCAACCCTTCAGCATAGTCTCCCCCAAGCACTCACCGTAGCTCTCAATCTTCTTGACCACGTCCATGCCCTCGACGACGCTGCCGAAGACGACGTGCTTGCCATCCAGCCAGGAGGTCTTCACCGTGCACAGGAAGAACTGGCTACCATTGGTGTTGGGGCCTGACAGAGAACACATTGGGGGAGCGTGTAGATAATACTTTGTATGCAGTAACAATAGTGTCCAGTGTGTAGTCCATTGGGGCCTGACCCTGAACACATCGGGGAACGTGTAGATAATAGTGGATTATACCGTAATGTGTAGATAAAGTGTACCATTGCCGATGCCGCTGGTGTTGGGGCCTGACCGAGAACACATCGAGGAGCGTGTAGAGAATACGGTATGGGGCAGTGTATGTATAGAGAAAGTGGAACTAGTTAATGTTGCTGTTGGGGAATGGGAATGAGAACAAGGCAGAGAACGTGCGGATAATAAGGTGCTTGTATGCAGTAACACTAGTGTTTAGTTTATAGTCAGCGTTGGGGGCTGCCGTTTATCTGTGGTCGTTTGTATCGGGGTCTGACCGAGAACAAAGTGAGATGGCCTTGAGAAGCAGTCCTTGACGCCTGACGCACCCAGTCTAACCGTAGAATAATTGGCGTGAGTGCATGGTAACGACTTGGGTTTGCGGCTTTCTTAGGTTATACACTTTCAGCCCGTCCGGCAGACGACTTCGGCCGTTGGCGACAGGAGACAAACGAACTCGATAAATATTTATCCGCGGCATGCTAACACAAGCTTCCATCAAGCTTAGGGTTTGGGATCCCTTGACTACGAGTGGCACCCATGGCACCGGTTCTGCAACGGGAAACTTAAGAAAACTTTTACATGTTCGACATGCATTATCTGCAAAACTTAGTTATAACTAAATTGCAAGGAGTAAGGACCTTACTTAACGTGGGGGAAGTGCTCAGGAAATTCATAGTCTCGATCAAGACAGCAAGGCTTGGATCCACACTCGCTGGAACTGTTATAAATCCACTCGCATACGGAATCAAGCTGTGCAAATAATCATACCCGCGTGGGAACAAAGGTCAACAGGTACCAAAGATAAGGTACTTCACCATCGTGGCCCGGTGAAAGACCAGGGGACCCATCTTATTGACACGACAAACACTCCACTCAATATCAAGCCGCCCCAGACGCCAGTGGCCATCAAACCGAACCTGCTTTTGAAATTATAAGGGCACAGCTAAATAGATAAGTCAAAAAATACAGATATAGAGTAAGTTAGGGCAAAAGGGCGGTAGGGAAATAGAGAATAGATATGATTAGATAAGGAGAGAGAGAGAGAGAGAGAGAGAGAGAGAGAGAGAGAGAGAGAGAGAGGCCACGCGGCGTGCTACTCACCGGCGTTGGCCATGGACAGGATGCCGGGGCCGGTGTGCTTCAGGGTGAAGTTCTCGTCCTCGAACTTGGTGCCGTAGATGGACTTGCCGCCGGTTCCGTTGTGGTTGGTGAAGTCACCGCCCTGCGGGGTTGCAGGAGTTGGGCAGCGGTCAGTAATACATCTTTGGCACTCACTGAATGAGATTCCGCAAAGGGTGAAGAAGCCGGGGACGTGATATTTTCCAGAGTTTTTTTAAGAACCCAATAAAGTACCCACCTTAAACATTTTTCAGTTTTCCATTCCAGCTATCGATTATCATAAACAAAACGACCATGGCAGGATTTATTCAAGCTATGGTTGAATGGAAAGTGTCCTTTTTCATCCAAACAAATAGGAATGTTCGGGAAAGTGATAAAACTGGGCTACTTCAATCCTTTAGAGCAATGTCAATATCCTCCCTCTATTACCTAGTAAATTTATGTTGCGAATCATATGAAGTACAAAGAATTTATAATAAAAATCGGAGGATCAATGATGTGACGGTCTCATTGACCGAAATTTCTCATACCCAAGATCACTTAATTCAAAGTCGCGATATCCTAATCCCTATTTCCTGACGCCAGAGCGACCCGTCATCGCAAAAACCTCCGACGGGCGGCTGGATAAAAACTGGTGCGGCCCGCCTCGCGTCCGACAAACAAACCGCCTGGCAACAGCGCCGACCGACCGCCGTAAACGGACGGCGCGGCTGAGCGCCGCGCGTGGGGGCCAACCCGGAGCAACTCACACAAACATGGCAGTACGGTGACACGCTACTCGGCAACAACGCATTTACTGTCATAAAGACAATTGGTAGGATAAGCGAGAGGCGAGAAGTGAGCAATCCGGCCCGAAATGGCACGTAGGAATTTTAAAACAACTGGGTAGCACTTAACCGATGCGTTTCATCTTCACTTTTAATCAATGGAGGCGGAGCGCTACAGTAATTAGCATGCTGTCGAATGAAATATCCCGTGGTCCCTCACCTCTCGGAGACCCGCGTTCCCTGATATCCACCCCACCCGTCTTCCCTCAGATACCCTTTCTGAGGCCCGTGTTCCCTCAGATACATATCCTCTCGGAGACCCGAGTTCCCTCAGAAACCCTTTCTGAGACCCGAGTTCCCTCAGATACATATCCTCTCGGAGACCCGAGTTCCCTCAGATACCCTCTCGGAGACCCGAGTTCCCTCAGATACCCACCCCACCCGCGTTCTCCCAGATGCCCTCTCTGTTCACTCACCTGGCACATGAAGTCGGGGATGACACGGTGGAACGAGCAGCCCTTGTAACCGAAACCCTTCTCGCCTGTGCACAGGGCGCGGAAGTTCTCCGCAGTCTTGGGCACAACGTCCGCCCGCAGCTGCAGAGAAAGCACAGACGTCAATACTAGACGCTGGTGGCTGCTAGATAGATGAGAGATAGAAGACAGAGGACAGATAATGATTGATAGATTGTTGACGACACTGCAGAACACATGGACACACTGCTATAGTGCATCCTGGCGCAGTGACTGACACAGGCATTAGGCGGCATCATCCGGAACCCCACTAATAAAACCTATACTTGCTGGTCGGAGGGAAGCACCCAAGCATTCAGGACTGGGAAGCATCGAGTTGAGCCTCAATGAGGATAATGCGTTATTACTGGCATCAGCCACCACTGGTTCAAGTCTTGAAAGTATGATAAGTAAGGATAAGTATTAAGTAATTAAGTAGGAGAGGAGATAAAAACTTGAAATGTACAGTCTGTCTTAAAAGTACCGCGCAAAGTGACGGTGGATCCATCTAGCCTGACCGAGAAAGGGCCTGATTTAATTTGAAAGTCACCAACCAATTGACCTAGGGAATGGACGAGGATGTCAATTGCTTCAGTAGGTAATTGACCTAGGGAATGGACAAGGATGTCAATTGCTTCAGTAGGTAACCCAAATTTACAGGCCCTTCCTCGGTCAGGCTCAATGGATCCACTGTCGCTTTGTGCGCCGTGCAGTACTTTTAAGACAGACTGTACATACATAGGTATATTCCATGTTTGGATTGGGAAAATCTTTTCAATTAGTTATTCCTGGTTCATTAAAAAACTATTAACACTGATCATGATATAGGATGGCACCAGACATGTGCATAAATCTGAGGGATCTCAGATGTGATCCCACAGATCCTGATCTTGGATCAGACAGGATCATAGATGCAGAAAAGGAAGAAGGAACCAGGATATGATATCTATCCTGGATATCCATCATAAGATATCCAACTCTTTAACTTATCGAGAGATCGCAGGGATGGTAAAGATAAGATCCATATCTTATTTTTTGCTTGAGACCCACTGAGATAATGGATCCTCAACTATTTTTGGTCAACACAGAAATCCTTTTAAAAAATAACCTGTTGCAACTCAAAAGTGTTCTGTTATAATGATTTTATGTGGTGAGTTTGCCCAACTAGTGGAACCAGCAATAGCAGTGGGCAGACCCAGCCAGTCACCTGGGCCATTAGTATTACCCACTGCACATCTTCCATTTTCATTACAAATGAAGATCAGTCTCTCAGCAACAAGATTCCATCCCTATATCAAGCTATGGAACAGTCATGATCATCACTCCAAACAGAAATGGTACAAACACAGTAGGAAATGGCAATGCCAGCAACTATTACATAGGTACACCACCATAAACTATTCAACAGCTAGGAAATGAAATCATTAAAAGGAAATACAAAAACTCAGGTGCATATAGCATAGGTAAGGTAAGATCCATCAAAGCCCATACATACACCGTGCACCATAAGAATGAGTCGGGGGAAGTTTGGTAAATTGTTGTAATTTTAATACGTGCTATTTATAACACATGCCAAAAATGATAATTCTGCTATTTATAGCAGCAATGAAGCTGATTTCAGTCCTCAGCAAGTAAACACAATTTTGGAAATATAAGCACTGATTTTGGGAAAGTGCTGTGCACGGATACGGAGTCGGAGTCGGTCGGAGTCGACAGTTGTGACCGGAGTCAGAGTCGATTTTAGAAACCCGAGCTGGAGTCGGAGTCACCAAAAATCTGTCGACTCCGCAGCCCTGCTAGGTCTGCGGAGTCGGAGTCGGGAGTTGGAGTCGGTCGGAATCGACAATTCTGCCCGGAGTCGCAGTCGGTAGGAGCTGGTTTTTGACAGCCGGAGTCGGAGTCGCCGAAAATCCATCGACTCCGCAGCCCTGGATCCGTGCACCTTGTGTAGTTCTTCTCCATTATATCATGTTCCATTACTTTAAAGTTTCTAAATGCAGTTTATCTCTTTTTGCCATACTTTGTTTCATCTTGTGTATGAATTTTGAACTCAATTGGCAATCTTGGAGTACTACAATGATTTTTACAAACAATTACAATTGATACAATTTATGGTAATCATATGCGCTACTTTTTTTAGCAAGTGGGACGGCAATTCACACAGTTGAGAGGGCAATTTGGTACCTGATTTTTTATATCGGAAAGCTCTTCTTATAAGGGTAAAATTTTGGGTATTACTCTTCCATTCAATTAACAATTCTTCAGCAGTGATAAAGAATGAATCTGCTCAAACCAGACTGTACAAAAACTGTTTTTGAAAACCCTTCAGAAGAGCTAAAAAAAAGCACAGATCGTCGTGATTTAAGCACGTGTGCCAAAATACCACTTGCTTACTGACAACCGTCGACAAAAGTAAAACTTCCCGGGAATGGAATCGCCTAGGCTTCAGTTTGAAGGACAAATCTGCAGCCTTATCCTTACCTCCATGACGATGCGTCCGAGAGGAGCACCATCAGCAGTCATATCGAAGTAAACCCGGGGCTTAGCCATTTTGTGAAATTTGTGAGACAGGCGAAGACAGCCAAAATACAGGAACCGGCCTTAACGACAAGAGTCGAGCGCAGCACAGCCGGAAATTCCAACAAAACCCGGCGAACGCGGTTTGTGCTACCAAATTTTATGATGATTTCGGTTACATTCAAATTTACATGTCAACCTAATTCGAATCACAGATGTATTGAGTCATATCAGATATTGTACGAAAAGCATTATTATTTTATCACAAAATATATATCGTAAATTTGTTACAATCAATGTACTGACGAAAGATCAACTAATGAATGATTTTAGACGAAAGGGATTTTCAGTACGGTAGGGAGATTATTGAGATGGCAGCATGTGGAAGGTTGTGGAACCGGAAACAACACGATAGTCACCGCAGCTAAATTACATGGGGCTAATCCTAATGTTGAGAGGAGGTTATTCAAGTGTCCAACGAGCATTACAGTGGTCAAATCAGTCAACAGTAGCCATTTTTGTTACATTATAAGACAAATTCAATCATGTTTTACACCCTTATTATTTCTAGCGCTCGTCTGTCAATCCTTTTATTTGTCCAGATGTGATCACTGAATTGGCCATCGCAGCTGCCATCGTTTTCGGTGGCGGTTACGATTTCATTAGACATTAGGTATATTTCCCGGGTAGATCTAGAAAGGTATTATTACACTTATGGAGGCTGGAGGAGGCGCCAGCACTGAAAGTGACAGACGTCAAGATTGAAAGTGTGGTCCGAATGGGAAAGAGAGAAAGTGAAAGAAAACGTCCCCTGCTGGTGAAACTTACAAATGAAAGTGAAAAGAAGAACATTTTGGCAAGCGCCAAAAATCTGAAGGGTGAAGAAAACCCATGGAAAAAGCGAGTAGGCATATCACGAGATATGACAAAGATGGAAAGAGACCAGGACATGAGACTGAGGGAAGAACTGAAGGTCAAAAGAGCTGCTGGTGATCACACATGGTACATAAAAAATGGGAAGCTACAAAAGAAAGAGGGAGAGGTGCAGAGAGAAAGGCAAAGAGAGAGCCAGTAAAAACAGATAGATCAAAAAAGAAAGAAGATAGAGATGTGAAAAGGATCATTATAAATTTAGTCAATGTGCAAGGTTTAACAAAACCAAAGGTGATAGAGCTAGAACAGCTCCTACAAACAGACTGTGATTTCATATGCCTTACGGAAACTCAGCAAAAATATGAAAAAGTCCAATTATCAAAGGGCATAAATAAAGTTGATAGTATGCGAGACATGAAAGACAAGAAAGGAGGCGGTTTGCTCCTTATGTACAAATCCAAAGATCTCTTCAATGTAACGAAGGTACAAACTACAAGCAGTGATATTCTCTGTGTAAAGGTGGATATAGCTAGAGAAACAATGTATATAGTGATAGTTTATTTCTCTGTTGTTAGCAAACACGAAGATAAAGTACGAAATGACAGAATGAAAAAGGAAGTGGAGAAAATAATTATGAAAACCAGAGAAGAGCAGGAAGCACTTATGATACACTTATGATGACTTCAACGGACACATTAGTGGACTGGGAAAGCAAAAAGAAGATGACAATGGAAAAACAGTTCTTGAATGGATGAATGATCATGCACTAATTTTACTAAACATGGATGAAAGATGCAAGGGACAGATAACATGGCAGAGAAAAGAACAGCAAAGTGTGATTGATTTTGTAATAGTAAATGATAAATGTTACAAATGGTTTGAAGAAATGAACATAGATGAAGACAGAGAAAAGTTTGATCTCTCAGATCACAATATGATCACTGTGAGCATGAGGCTACCAGATGGTAAGAATCTCAATTTCTCCCAGGGGAAAGAAAAGACAGTAGAATACTACAAGACTGATGAAGAGGCACTGAAAGAGTTTGCAGAGGAAGTATGCAGAAGGGTACAAGATGAAGAGATGCAAACAATGGAGATGTTAAATAGAACTATGCAAAATACTGCAGAGGACAAGCTAAAAGCCAGATATATAAGGAGAGTTCTGAACTCACAAGTACAAGTGAAAGAACCTCCATGGATGACAAAAGAAATAAAAAAAGAAATCAAGAAAAGAAAAGAAATAAACAGGAAAAAGCGAAATGCCCAATCTCAGGAAGAAGTCGAGGCATTGGAAATAGTGTATCTGAAACAGAAAAGACATGTACAATCCCTGATCAAGGAGCAGATGGGTATACATGAGAAGAAGATAACCAATGAAATAAAATGCAGCACAAACAAAAGCAAAGCTCTATGGAAGAACATTGATAGCCTAAGGAGAAGGGATTTAAAAAAGAATGAGGAAACAAACCTGTTCACCTCAGATGGACAAAAGCTGGGGAAAGAAGCAGAAAAGGAAGAACTTATAAGATATTGGAAGACTGTATACCAAAAGCATGCAAATGATATAAGTCAGATATGGAATGAAGAAAGCAAAAATGAATATATCAGAGCATTAGAGAATGAGGAGCAATCTAGCAATGTCAGAAGACCACTACAAGATCATGAAGAGATGGCCCAAACTGCTACCAGAGGCCTGGAGCCAATGACTGAACCAATCATAAGTGAAGAAAAAGTTCAGAGATGTGTGCAAAACATGAAAGGCAAGACATCAGCAGGCCCAGATGGACTGAAAACAGAGATGTACAAAGCACTCCTTAAAACAAGGAATGGAGTGAAGATACTAACAAGCTGTCTGAAGAGAGAAGTGGGAGAAAGCAGGAAAATGAGTGATTGGAAGACATCAAAGACAAGAATGATAAAGAAGGTGCCACGCCCAACAGCGAAGGATTTAAGGCCCATAGCACTTACAAATGTAGCGTACAAAATGTTCATGACCCTGATGAAGAATGAAATTGAAGAACACTTGAGAGAAAATGATGCTGTAATTGAAACCCAAGCTGGATTCACGAAAGGGGGAAAGATTGAAGACAACCTCTTCATACTGAACTATTGTGTGGAAGAAAGCTACAAAAGAAAGACCCCACTCTATGTTACATCTATCGATTACAGAAAAGCATTCGATTCAGTGAAAAGAAGTGAGATGATAAGTGCTTTGATGACATATAAGATTCATCCTAAAGTTATCGATGCCGTAGCAGATATTTACCAAGGCGACTCAACACTTATCAGCTTGAATGATGACACAACAGAAAAGTTGGACGTGACAAGCGGAATCCGACAAGGGTGTACCGGCTCCACAGCCTTATTCAAGATTGTCACATATATAATCACCAGAGAAATACAAAAGACAACTCTTGGTTTCAGAAACGAGAAGTTTTACATTCCAATACTGTTCTTTGCGGATGATGGATTGATACTGGCAGCTTCACTGCAAGAAACACAGCTACTGATAAAAGTTTTAAATGAAGTGAGTAAGAAGTGTGGTCTAGATATAAACAAAGACAAAAGTGCTGTATTGATATTTAACTGTAAAGAACAGCCGGAGGAAGTAGAAGGAATACCCACGGCAGACAAGTTGAAGTATCTTGGTGTGAAGATCGGAAATCAGAGGAATATGTTCAAAGAGCAGAAAAGGCAGATGATACAAAAAGCTCAAAGAATGGCAAATATGACGTATGGGGTGGTCGCAAGAAGTTGCAACAAACTGCTGATAGGGAAAACCTTCTGGAAGAGCCTTGCTCTGCCATCCATATTATATGGTGTCAATATATTCCACGTAACAGAAGAAGAGGTCAAGAAGCTGGAAGTTATAGAAAACGGAGTATATCGGCAGATACTTGGTGCACCGAAATACACAGCCAACTGTGCCCTCCGAGGTGAAATTGGAGCTTCGGCGATGAAAACAAGAGTAATCAAAGGACATCTACAGTATGTTAGAAGCACTCTACAAGGAAATAACCAACTATTGAAGGAAGTGATAGAAACTCAATTAGAAGAAAAGGGTACGAAATGGGCGAGGATGATTATCACACACTTAGAAACCCTAAATCTAAACCAAGGCGACCTTAGAAACATGAAGAAAGAAGAACTAAATAAGAAGATGATTAGTTGGGACGATAAAAGATGGAAAGAGGAAGTAGAGACTAAAACAAGTTTGAAGGTATACAAGAGATGGAAGCTGAAGATAAAAGAGGATGATGTTTATGACAACACCCCGCAATCAAGAATCCTCTTTCAAGCGAGGACGGATACTCTCCCTCTGAACGCAAGGAAGAAGTTTACAAAAGAAAGAACGAACTGTGCCTTGTGTGAAGCGGAAAATGAAGATATTAATCATTTCTTGCTAGAATGTCCAGTATTAAATGAAGTTAGGGTGAATCATCGTGAATTACAACAGCCATACTTGGAAGACAAAGAAGAAGTTATAATGAGATTTCTATTTGATAAGGAAAGAAGGAATATGGAAGAAAAGAAACAGATTTTGTACAGCATGTGGACCCTAAGAACTAAAAGGCAAAAAGAGCTCAATACTTGTTAAGCACCCCGTACCAACTCATAGCGCGATAGTTTAAGTTAAAGTTTAAAAAGAAAAGGAGGAGCCGTTGCAAAGGCAATTCCTCAAAACCGTCAAGTTCAAGTTCAAGTACTGTCGTTGAGAGAGGTTGAGATATGTGGCCCACGCTAGTAGGATGCAGGGTGGTGGCACTAGCGAGTAGCGAGTAGCGTAGTGCGTACCTACCTATTTAGGGGAGCGCCACTAGCAGAGGCGGCGGAATGGGGAGGGCACCGGGGCACCGTGCCCCCTTTGATTTTGGCATTTTAACATTAGCCATATGGGGGTTTCATGGAAAGAATGGGACCAAAAGTCGGCAGTGCCCTCATAATTGAAGGTGTTCCGCCGCCAGTAGCGGCGGAACGCCTTCAATATTAACCCGCGCCCCACTGGGGGGGGGGGCTATTTATAGCCCCCCCCTCCCGTTTTTCTGCAATAACTTCCAAACCGCTTGACGTATCAACGCCAAACTTTCAGTACCTTTGGCTGCATCAATTTGACACCTTGTGTCAAAATTTGAACTTCGTAGCTACCATAGGTCGGCCGGAAATGACGTCAGAGTGACGTCATGTTCGGCCGATTTCGACGCAAAACATTGAACCACGGCAATCGCTCCCAACAAGGCCTCCTCTAACATACCCACTGGGTGGGCAAATGCCTACCCAGTCACCACAATTGCCCACCCAGTGGCGTCGATTTGCCCACCCAGAAGCAAATGCAAAAATAAAGGTCCGGCCAGACGTCCGGTAGGAACTACCACTTCGGTTTCCCGGAAAAAAAAAACTTGCTAGCAGCCAGTGCCCCAGCCCCCAATCACTGCAGTGCAGGTTATTTTTTACAATGGATGCATCTGAATGCAGGGGCGGTAGCAGACTTGGCGTTTGGGGGTGGGGGCAACTTGGTAACTTTGCAACTCTCGCAGTGGCGGTCGCAGGGGGGGGGGCCATCAGGGCCATGGCCCCCCCCCCCCAAAGCCAAATCAGGGGGGGCCATCATATCATTTGGCCCCCCCCAGGGGCGGTCGCAGACTTGGAGTTTGGGGGGGGCCAACTTGTCAAAGGGGCCCCTGCGCTGACCCGGAGGGCCCGGTGCTAGCTTAAAGGGGCCCACGGACGTAGTGCACGGGTGCAGAAATCCAGGCCATGGCCGGTGAAGCGGGGGGGGGGGGGGGTAGTGAGCGGCACCCGAGAGGAGGCTCATTGCGAAATGCGAGCTTTGAGGGTGTACCATGTCGAAAAGGTACCGATAAGTGCATTTTGAAACATTGATATTGTCAATAATTCACGCAACTGTGAATGGACTACCGCAAAAGTAAAGGCGGCGCGGCTAACTTTGCCATTTTCTAAGATCATCGTGCTAAAACTTTTGACAGTGGGTCATCGGTATCTGTTCACTGTTCAATCACATGTGTTCCGTTTCATCTTTTTTGTTTTTACTTGAGCACAAATGTAAGTTTTGAAGGCCATTACAGTAGCCAATACTTCGGAAGATGTATAGTGGGCCAAATATCCTAAATTTGTCGTGCTGCATGGAAAGTAGTGTTGCTGAGAAAAGGGGGTTTTGTTCCAGATTACTGTAGATGCAGAATACATTGTCTGCACCCACTGCAGAATTATTGTTGGTGCAACTGCGCCCACTGCACCCATGGTTCCTACACTTATGGGCCCATCGATAGCGCTTCGGCGATACCTATCGCCTAGAGGCTGCAATGGGGCCCTTAGAGTACGGTGTCAGACCCCCCAGAGGCTGGCGTTGGACCCAAGGGTCAGCGAAGGGCCTCGAAGGCCCCAGGTAGGGCCCCAGAGGCTGATGTGGGCCTTCAGAGGCAAGTGCGTGACGCCCATAGGTAAGGCTTGAGCCCCCCCCCCCCCCCCCGAGAACATAATAGGGCCATCAAAGGCCGGTGTGGGACCTTTAGAGGCTGGTTTGGGCCCATAGGGGCCAGTTTAGGGCCATCAGAGACCAGTACAGGGCCTGCAAAGGGCCGTTTGAGGCCATCAGAGATCGAATTGGGCACTCAAAGGCTAATGTGGGTCCTTACAGGCCAGCATGGAGCCCTCAGAGGTTACCGTGGGGCTCTAAAAGACCGACATGGGCCGGCGTTGGACCCCAGAGGCCAGTAGAGGGCCGTCAAAGACCAAGATGGGCCCTCAGAGACCGATGCGGGCCCTTAGAGGCCGGCATCGGGTCTTCAGAATCCAGTGTGGGGGCCCTCAGAGGCTAATGTGAACCCTTACAGGCCAGCATGGGGCCCTCAAAGGTCAGAATAGGACCCTAAAAGACCGGCATGGGCCGGTGTTGGACCCCAGAGGTCAGTGGAGGGCCCTCAAAGGCCAAGATGGGCCCTCAGACGCCGATGTGGGCCCTGAGCGGCCGGCATCGGGTCTTCAGAAGCCCGTGCGGGCCCTCAGAGACTAAGGTGGGTCCTTACAGGCCAGCACGGGCCCTCAGAGGTCAGTGTGGGGCCCTAAAAGACTGGCATGGGCCGGCGTTGGACCCCAGAGGCCAACAGAAGGCCCTCAAAGTCCAAGATGGGCCCTCATAAGCCGATGCTGACCCTTAGAGGCCGGCATCGGGTCTTATGAATCCAGGGGGCCTCAAAGGCTAATGTGAGCCCTTACAGGCCAGCATGGGGCCCTCAAAGGTCAGAATGGGACCCTAAAAGACTGGCATTGGCCGGTGTTGGACCCCAGAGGCCAGCAGAGGGCCCTCAAAAGCCAAGATGGGCCCTCAGAGGATGATGCGGGCCCTTAGATGCCGGCATCGGGTCTTCAGAATACAGTGCGGGGGCCACAAAGGCTAATGTGTGTCCTTACAGACCAGCATGGGGCCCTCAGAGGTCAGTGTGGGGCCCTAAAAGACCGGCATGGGCCGGCGTTAAACCCCAGAGGCCAGCGGAGGGCCCTCAAAGGCCAAGATGGGCCCTCAGACGCTGATGCGGGCCCTGAGCGGCCGGCATTGGGTCTTCAGAATCCAGTGCGGGGGCCCTCAGAGGCTAATGTGGGTCCTTACAGGCCAGCATGGGGCCCTCAGAGGTCAGTGTGGGGCCCTAAAAGGCCGGCATGGGCCGGCGTTGGACACCAGAGACCAGCGGCGGAGGGCCCTCAAAGGCCAAGATGGGCCCCCAGAGGCCGATGCGGGCTCTTAGAGGCCGGCATCGGGTCTTCAGAATCCAGTGTGGGGCCCTCAGAGACACTTAAAGTCTAGTCTTGGGACTCGAGAGACAGAAATGAGGCCACCAGAGGCCGGTGTGAGGCTCTCAGACGCCGGTTGGGCCCTTGAGGCCGGTTTAGGGGCCCTCAAAGGCCAGTGGAGGGCCCTCAGAGGTCAATGTGGGTCCTCAGCGGTCAATGTGGACGCTTGACCGCCACTGAAGGGCCCTCAGAGGTCAGTGTAGGACCCTCAAAGACTGGTATGGGAGCTGTTAATAGCTGGCGTGGGTTTCTCGAGCCTCGTGACAATCGAATACGGGCCAGGGCCCCATACGGCCATGGGGGCCCATCGGTTGTTTGGGGGGGGGGGGCAAATGATATGATGGCCCCCCCTGATTTGGCTTTGGGGGGGCCATGGCCCTGATGGCCCCCCCCCCTGCGACCGCCACTGGCCCCCCCCCAAACAACCGATGGGCCCCCATGGCCGTATGGGGCCCTGGCCCGTATTCGATTGTCACGAGGCTCGAGAAACCCACGCCAGCTATTAACAGCTCCCATACCAGTCTTTGAGGGTCCTACACTGACCTCTGAGGGCCCTTCAGTGGCGGTCAAGCGTCCACATTGACCGCTGAGGACCCACATTGACCTCTGAGGGCCCTCCACTGGCCTTTGAGGGCCCCTAAACCGGCCTCAAGGGCCCAACCGGCGTCTGAGAGCCTCACACCGGCCTCTGGTGGCCTCATTTCTGTCTCTCGAGTCCCAAGACTAGACTTTAAGTGTCTCTGAGGGCCCCACACTGGATTCTGAAGACCCGATGCCGGCCTCTAAGAGCCCGCATCGGCCTCTGGGGGCCCATCTTGGCCTTTGAGGGCCCTCCGCCGCTGGTCTCTGGTGTCCAACGCCGGCCCATGCCGGCCTTTTAGGGCCCCACACTGACCTCTGAGGGCCCCATGCTGGCCTGTAAGGACCCACATTAGCCTCTGAGGGCCCCCGCACTGGATTCTGAAGACCCAATGCCGGCCGCTCAGGGCCCGCATCAGCGTCTGAGGGCCCATCTTGGCCTTTGAGGGCCCTCCGCTGGCCTCTGGGGTTTAACGCCGGCCCATGCCGGTCTTTTAGGGCCCCACACTGACCTCTGAGGGCCCCATGCTGGTCTGTAAGGACACACATTAGCCTTTGTGGCCCCCGCACTGTATTCTGAAGACCCGATGCCGGCATCTAAGGGCCCGCATCATCCTCTGAGGGCCCATCTTGGCTTTTGAGGGCCCTCTGCTGGCCTCTGGGGTCCAACACCGGCCAATGCCAGTCTTTTAGGGTCCCATTCTGACCTTTGAGGGCCCCATGCTGGCCTGTAAGGGCTCACATTAGCCTTTGAGGCCCCCTGGATTCATAAGACCCGATGCCGGCCTCTAAGGGTCAGCATCGGCTTATGAGGGCCCATCTTGGACTTTGAGGGCCTTCTGTTGGCCTCTGGGGTCCAACGCCGGCCCATGCCAGTCTTTTAGGGCCCCACACTGACCTCTGAGGGCCCGTGCTGGCCTGTAAGGACCCACCTTAGTCTCTGAGGGCCCGCACGGGCTTCTGAAGACCCGATGCCGGCCGCTCAGGGCCCACATCGGCGTCTGAGGGCCCATCTTGGCCTTTGAGGGCCCTCCACTGACCTCTGGGGTCCAACACCGGCCCATGCCGGTCTTTTAGGGTCCTATTCTGACCTTTGAGGGCCCCATGCTGGCCTGTAAGGGTTCACATTAGCCTCTGAGGGCCCCCACACTGGATTCTGAAGACCCGATGCCGGCCTCTAAGGGCCCGCATCGGTCTCTGAGGGCCCATCTTGGTCTTTGACGGCCCTCTACTGGCCTCTGGGGTCCAACGCCGGCCCATGTCGGTCTTTTAGAGCCCCACGGTAACCTCTGAGGGCTCCATGCTGGCCTGTAA